GAACATGAACATAGTATTGGGGTCAGTGCCAACTAATCTATTTGTCACTCACACACTACTACAAACTGGACAGTTAGAGGTTTTGTATGTTCAACACAAATTCAGGAGACCCCTATGCTTCGAGTCATTTTGCTGGTGTTCTTGGTTCAAGTTACACGTTCACTCCACTACACTAATCAGACCTGAGTTTAAATAGTATTTGTTTTCTCTTAAATACTGGGAGTGTTTCACAGAGCCTGCCTGGAGTGCATATGGGCTGTGTTTGCACTAAATGGGAGTATTCTTTTGATTCCTTTGCACCAGGCAAGGTCAAGCGATCAAGTATTTGAAAGAAACCAAATACCACCTAGGTCTGTCCCTAATAAAGGCTGAGAAACACTGCCCTAGTATATCAAAGTAAGAAACGCTTATTACAACGCCCGCTGTTGATGTTTTAAAGCTTGGGTGCCCTTATTTGCTATGGTTGTCCCCAGCACTCCTACACACCCTTGTAATTCGAACCCTGATTAAAGCTGCAATATGTAACTTTTGGGACGACCCAACCAAATTCACATAGAAATGTGATTTATAGATCTGTCATTCTCATTGAAAGCAAGTCTAAGAACCTATAGATCTGTTCTATGTTTCGTTTTTGCATCTTTTACTTTCGGTTTTGTACACCAGCTGAAAATTCAATATTTTTGGTTATGGAAAATATATTTGACAGCGGTTTAGATAGTACAATGATTCTCTACACAATGACTGCTTGTTTTGTCACATAAATTGAAATTAGACAAACTATTAGGAAATGGCGGAGTGATGTCTGCATACTACACCTTTTTTAAATAGTAACATTCCAAGTACAATTAGTGACCAGAGTCAAAACCATCATCGTCACTGTGATTCCTTATGTTATTCTTTTGATCGGTATGTATGGTTGTGTTCAACTTAACCAAATGAAATAGGAATACTTCCTACAGTACAGGAGTGAGGTGGGAGGGATATATTGCAATCTATAGCACACAGGGGAAACTGTGTAGGAGAATGTGTGTAGGCGTGAATGTGTTTGAACGAGAGGACCGAGGGCGAAGGACAAAGCTTGAGAGTTAGAACGAGAGGACCGAGGGCGAAGGACAAAGCTTGAGAGTTAGAAATAAAGAGTGAGAGAGAGGGATGGAGAAAGATATAGTGTGAGATACAGAGAGATGGAGGATACGACTTCCGTAGAGAGCAATGACTCTGGTGCATTAGAGAGTTGAGTGTGTGAGGTTGGAGGCACACACACACACACACACGCACTCACACACGCCAATATTAGACTGACTCCTCGTTATCTTCTTGTCCCTCTGTATGGTATGTCGATCAGGGAGACTAAACTTGAATCCACCTCAGGCTCTGCTTTGCCCAGCATCCCTCCAGAGGACAGAAACCAGGCTACAGGGCCACCTCAATCCACACAGCGGTTACAGATCCTTAATCTGGAGCGTACGCACACACACAAATTTGATGTTGATACACATAACAACACACAGGAAGCATGGACATTTTAGGAAACACACACACTGTATAATAGAGGTGTGAAACATACTTTTGTTGTGTGTGTTTGCCGTTGCTTTATCAGTGACTCAGTGAAGTAGACAGGTGGAAGACTATAAAATGAATCCCCCTATAGACTCTGTCCATATTCTCATGTCTTTCTCAGTGTTATCGTCCTGACACCTTTTAATGACAGCACAAACTAACTTCTATATCTGTCTCTCTATCTCACCCCATCTATTATTTCACTCCCTGATGTATTGCTCACTTTATTGTCTAAGCCAATTCTACAGGACTAGGCTGTATATTGAGAGAGAGGTGTGCTTTGCCTCTGACTCATCAGAAATGACTAATTTTAAACTTCATTGGTATAGTTATTCTCTATTTCCTATAAAACTGTTAGTGCTTTGCATAGCTGCATTAAAATAACATTTAACTTCAAACAGGTGCACAAACATTGACCAACAATTATGGACAGTACAGATGTAGAGGTTTGGAAAACCTGGTCCAGCATATCAAAGTCAACCCTGAATTTCATGGGTCACCACTGAGGTGATGATGCCAAAATGTAATGGTAGTATTGGCAAATGTTAACTTTTGGACATCACTATGCCGACTGCTGCTATTTTGAACTAATTTCTCTTGCAATATACATTTATCTCAGTGAGACAAACCTATATAAATAAAGTTTAAATAAAAAGAATGAACTGTATACAGTACCAGTCAAAAGTTTGGACACACCTACTCATGCCAGGGTTTTTCTTTATTTTTACTATTTTCTACATTGTAGAATAATAGTGAAGACATCAAAACTATGAAATAACACATATGGAATCATATAGTAACCAAAAAGTGTTAAATAAATCAAAATATATGTTATATTTGAGATTTTTCAAATAGCCACCCTTTGCCTTGATGACAGCTTTGCGCACTCTTGGCATTCTCTCAACCAGCTTCACCTGAAATGCTTTTCCAACAGTCTTGAAGGAGTTCCCACAAATGCTGAGCACTTGTTGGCTGCTTTATCTTCACTCTGCGGCCCAACTCATCCCAAACCAACTCAATTGGGGTTGAGGTCGGGGCATTGTGGAGGCCAGGTCATCTAATGCAGCACTCCATCACTATCCTTCTTGGTAAAATAGCCCTTACACAGCCTGGAGGTGTGTTGGGTCATGGTCCTGTTGAAAAACAAATGATAGTCCCACTAAGCCCAAACCAGATGGGATGGCGTATCACTGCAGAATGCTGTGGTAGCCATGCTGGTTAAGTGTGCCTTGAATTCTAAATAAATCACAGACATTGTCACCAGCAAAGCACCCCCACACCATAACACCACCTCCTCCATGCTTTACGGTGGGAAATACACATGCAGAGATCATCCGTTCACCCACACCGCGTCTCACAAAGCCACGGCGGTTGGAACCAAAAATCTCTAATTTGGACTCCAGACCAAAGGACACATTTCTACCAGTCTAATGTCCATTGCTCATGTTTCTTGGCCCAAGCAAGTCTCTTCTTCTTATTGGTCTCCTTTAGTAGTGGTTTCTTTGAAGCAATTCAACCATGAAGGCCTGATTCACACAGTCTCCTCTGAACAGTTGATGTTGAGATGTGTCTGTTACTAGAACTCTGTGAAGCATTTATTTGGGCTGCAATTTCTGAGGCTGGTAACTACTGAACTTATCCTCTGCAGCAGAGGTAACTCTGGGTCTTCCATTCCTGTGGCGGTCCTCATGAGATGAAGTTTCATCATAACGCTTGATGGTTTTTGCGACTGCACTTGAAGAAACTTTTAAAGTTCTTAAAATGTTCCGTATTGACTGACCTTCATGTCTTAAAGTAATGATGGACTGTTGTTTCTCTTTGCTTATTTGAGCTGTTCTTGCCATAATATGGACTTGGTCTTTTACCAAATAGGGCTATCTTCTGTATACCTTGTCACAACACAACTGATTGGGTCAAACGCATTAAGAAGGAAAGAAATTCCACAAATGAACTTTTAAGGCACACCTGTTAATTGAAATGCATTCCAGGTGAGTGTGCAAAGCTGTCATCAAAGCAAAGGGTGGCTATTTGAAGAATCTCAAATATAAAATATATTTTGATTTGTTTAACACTTTTTTTGGTTACCACATAATTCCATATGTGTTATTTCATAGTTTTGATGTCTTCACTATTATTCTACAATGTAGAAAATTGTAAAAAAAATAAATAGAAAAACCCTTGAATGAGTAGGTGTGTCCAAACTTTTGACTGGTACTGCAAGTAGTCTCTGGATAGATTCAGAGCAGTGTTTCTCAACTCCTGTCCCCATAACCCACATGTTTGTTCCAGCCAAGCACTAACACACAGTTCAACCTGATGTGACGAATAATCTACTCATTAAGTCTTGCTTTGTCAACCAGACAATTTATCAGGTGTGTTAGTGCTGTGTGGACTATGAGATGGTAGAAAACACCATGAAGGTCATTGTCTAGACATTTACCACTCTGAAATATTTATTATGACATGGCAAACTACAGTCAATCTGGCTAGCTTGGGTTCCTCTTTTATTGCAAAGTTCATGTGATCATCACAAGGCGTTCTCCAATTTGCTTCTCAATATCAGCCTTCTGTAGAAAAACAGCGGAAACAGAGAAAAGCAACAGAAGGCAATGATCGAGAGAGTGGGGGGTAGTGAGTGAGAAGGTGGAGAAAGACAGTGAAAACACAGACATCTATTGTGTTGCATTCTAGGCCTATGTTGTGTGAAGTGCTGGAAGTCTTGTCTCCTCTCTCTCTCTCTCATATATTAACATCCTCTCTCTCATATATTAACATCCTCTCTCTCATATATTAACATCCTCTGCTGGTCATCGCTGTCAGCAAATTCTGACCGGTTTTGTAAATGCTTTTACTTTTACAGTGACATTTGTTTTTGAGACCTACCCACACATACTGATCTCACACACAGAGAATCAAGAGTCTAACTCTCACCTTTATCCTCAATTATTTCATACTGAATACAGAAAAACTTTTGACCTCAAATGAGAACTGCACAAGTGCGGTTTTGTGGTGACCTCCCTCTTTTGCCGCTGTTGCCTTAGCAACAGCTCGCCTTGCCCACTTTAGCCCCAAAAGAGGAAGCCTTCCCTGTCTACTTCCTGTACAGGATGTCAACATGGCAACAGACATAAGGCTCTCCCTCCCCTGACATACAGACAAAAATACATTATTTGGCACAACTCTAAAAGGATGGGAAGACATTGTTAACCCTTTACAGCTGCTTGAACAAGCAATCCCAACACTGAGGAAATTGTACAGGTTCAATGCGGCGGTGACTACTTTTAGTTTCTAAGAAGTCAGCAATTTATGTTGCAGAAAGTTCTGCTTTATCAGACTGGTCCCAGAAGACACTGAACATTGCTCATGCTTCTCTCACAGGAACACACTGGGGTTTTTAGTTAGAGGTAGTATCAGCTATTAAGTTAGTTGTCAGGGCAACTATGGCCTGCCTGGTCAAGGTAGCTATGGTTACAAGATGATTGTGGACATTGCATTAGGAAAATCCTCATTAACGATGGAACATTAAGATGATAACAATGGGGTGTGTGACGGATCCGGGGGGGAACTCCCTCTTTAGCGTTTGTCATTCTCCCTTTTGGTAATCTACTTTTGACACCTCAGAGGGCTACTGGTAACGCATAGATTTTGCTTCTGTTTGCTGTTGTCACGAACTGTATGCTTTCTACCAACATGTTGCTTTAAGGTATTGATGCAATCTAAAAGGCCTCTTTTTAAAAGTGGAAGATTAGGAGGATTAAGGGAAGTTCTGACACACAATTTAAACTTTGACCTGTCCACCTTATGTCAACGGTGCCATTGTATGTCATCAGTGCATTCTGCTTCTCCTTTTTTTCATTTCCTCCCAGAATAAGGAGAAGGAGCGCATGAGGGAGAGGGAGAAGGAGGCGCGGGACAGGGAGGCGCGCTACAGCAACGGGCATCTCTTCACCTCCCTCACCGTGTCAGGGACCACCCTCTGTTCAGCATGCAACAAGAGCATCACTGCCAAGGAGGCCCTCAGCTGCCCCAGTGAGTACTACTAATACTACTACAAATTAATACAACTACTAACACACACACACACACACACACACACACACACACACACACACACACACACACACACACACACACACACACACACACACAGCACCCCTATAGTGGCCCTTAACTGTCCCAGTAAGCCTTGCCTACCCACCACATCCTTCAGATACAGACCTGAGCTACACAGCATGTGTACCTCAGCAAACCAAAAGAGCACCTCTAAAACATACCACACCCTGTACCTCTCTAAAACCCTAAAACGCTTTACAAAAATGCAGCATAATCTATCAGAACATACATTGTCACATCACTCTATAGTGGCAGAATATTGAGGGACTACCAAAGGGAACAACCTACACTATACCATTCCTTTACAACCAAATCAACCTGTTAACGGGCCAAACAAGCTACAACACAGTAATAAACGGCAATGTGACTATCAATTCCATTTAAAATAGTTATATTATGAACATTGATCTACATGCAGTCAGATAATGGGTGAGAGTTGGAGATGGAGAGCTTCACACCCACTCATAAACACCTCTCCACTGCCATCATCACAGCCAAACTGGCCTAGAAGGAGCTGCAGCCCAATGTGTTTTCATTACATTTGATTTAACTGACAAAGATTGTGCTGGAATATATTTTCGTTTGTGTCTTATTCTAAGTATTTATTTTGAAATATTTACATTATAGGAATACATTTTGACAAACATTTCACACACAAATATAGACACAGTCCTGCACGTGTCCCCCCCCCCCCCCCCCCCCCCCCCCCCACACACACACACACACACACTCCCTTTCCTGTTATGCCTTTATACTTCACTTTTTCTGCTGGGTAGCATTTCTTCATTTCTCAACCAAACCTTATAACAAACAGTCCCTGTGTTGTCAGGACTCCATGCCCCTGTACACAGATAATAGCCCTGGTGTTGTGTCAGAACTGTGCACCCTGTGCTGGCCTGCACCAGGCTCTGCTCTGATCTGTGTCGGTGGCAGGTGGTAACCACTAATGTAGCCAGACGCTAACTCGGTACCTTGCAGGTTCTTCCTATTTTGAGGGGGAGTTATAGGTCAAAGGTTACTGTTTTTGTTTTAGTCTCATGGCGTTGTTCAAATTCCTAATACTAAATTATGAAATATGGAAATGCATTCACGGTAACACTTAGGGGTTGGTAAGGAGGTGGTGAATACCATGGATGCTAGTACACTTACACTCACCAGATTTAGTTTGGCTTGATTTCACTGCACCAAATCAAACCGGTTAATAAGTCAAAGCAGTCTGGATTGCCTTCTTCAGTGTGTAACCCTACTAATTTAAGTAGGCTTTAAGTCCAGATTTGGGTCAGAGAAGTGTTAAGGGCGGGCGGTGGAGGACCAATGAAACTGGGTTAGAGGGTTCCTAAACCCCCCTAGGTCTCTCCTCCCCTCCGCCAGTTGTGTCTATACCCTAACGTCCTGTTCACAAACCCTGCACAGGAAATGAAACAATGGCCACAAACAAGGCAGGGGGGATAAGTGCAAGATGGGGGAGAGGGAAAGAGAAGTGGGAAGAGAGAAGGAGATCCTCACCATATATTAAAAGTGCTCCATATTCGATAAAGGTTGACAATATAAAACAGAGGAACAAATTGAGAGAGACAGAAATATACATATAGAGTAGGGGGGACATTTAGAGTGAGGGCAGAGTGAGTGAGAGGAGAGAAAGAAAATGTTAGAAAGAGTGAGTCACGTGTGTTTTCTTTTTCTCACAGCCTGCAGTGTAACCATCCACAACCGCTGTCGAGACACGTTGCCCAACTGTACCAAAATGAAACAGAGGGTAAGAAATAAGAGGATATATAGTATTTGATACACTGCCGATTTTGCAGGTTTTCCTACTTACAACGCATGTAGAGGTCTGTAATTTTTATCATAGGTACACTTCAACTGTGAGAGACGGAATCTAAAAAAAAAATCCAGAAAATCACATTGTATGATTTTTAAGTAATTAATTTGCATTGTATTGCATGACATAAGTATTTGATCACCTACCAACCAGTAAGAATTCCGGCTCTCACAGACCTGTTAGTTTTTCTTTAAGAAGCCCTCCTGTTCTCCACTCATTACCTGTATTAACTGCACCTGTTTGAACTCGTTACCTGTATAAAAGACACCTGTCCACACACTCAATCAAACAGACTCCAACATCTCCACAATGGCCAAGACCAGAGAGCTGTGTAAGGACATCAGGGATAAAATTGTAGACCTGCACAAGGCTGGGATGGGCTACAGGACAATAGGCAAGCAGCTTGGTGAGAAGGCAACAACTGTTGGCACAATTATTAGAAAATGGAAGAAGTTCAAGATGACTGTCAATCACCCTCGGTTTGGGGCTCCATGCAAGATCTCACCTCGTGGGGCATCAATGATCATGAGGAAGGTGAGGGATCAGCCCAGAACTACACGGTAGGACCTGGTCAATGACCTGAAGAGAGCTGGGACCACAGTCTCAAAGAAAACCATTAGTAACACACTACGCCGTCATGGATTAAAATCCTGCAGCGCACGCAAGGTCCCCCTGCTCAAGCCAGTGCATGTCCAGGCCTGTCTGAAGTTTGCCAATGACCATCTGGATGATCCAGAGGAGGAATGGGAGAAGGTCATGTGGTCTGATGAGACAAAAATAGAGCTTTTTGGTCTAAACTCCACTTGCCGTGTTTGGAGGAAGAAGAAGGATGAGTACAACCCCAAGAACACCATCCCAACCGTGAAGCATAGAGGTGGAAACATCATTCTTTGGGGATGCTTTTCTGCAAAGGGGACAGGACGACTGCACCGTATTGAGGGGAGGATGGATGGGGCCATGTATCGCGAGATCTTGGCCAACAACCTCTTTCCCTCAGTAAGAGCATTGAAGATGGGTCGTGGCTGGTCTTCCAGCATGACAACGACCCGAAACACACAGCCAGGGCAACTAAGGAGTGGCTCCGTAAGAAGCATCTCAAGGTCCTGGAGTGGCCTAGCCAGTCTCCAGACCTGAACCCAATAGAAAGTATTTGGAGGGAGCTGAAAGTCTGTATTGCCCAGCGACAGCCCCAAAACCTGAAGGATCTGGAGAAGGTCTGTATGGAGGAGTGGGCCAAAATCCCTGCTGCAGTGTGTGCAAACCTGGTCAAGACCTACAGGAAACGTGTGATCTCCGTAATTGCAAACAAAGGTTTCTGTACCAAATATTAAGTTCTGCTTTTCTGATATATCAAATACTTATGTCATGCAATAAAATGCAAATGAATTACTTAAAAATCATACAAAGTGATTTTCTTGATTTTTTTTTAGATTCCGTCTCTCACAGTTGAAGTGTACCTATGATAAAAATTACAGACCTCTACATGCTTTGTAAGTAGGAAACACTGCCGATTTGGCAGGTTATCAAATACTTGTTCTCCCCACTGTATGTATGTATGTGTGTGTATATATATATATATATATATATATATATATATATACTATATATATATACACACTATATACAGTGCATTCGGTAAGTATTCAGACCCTTTCACTTTTTCCACATTTTGTTACGTTACAGCCTTATTCTAAAATGGATAAAATTGTTTTTTTCCCTCATCAATCTACACACAATACCCCATAAGACAAAGCAAAACAAGGTTTTTTGAAATTTTAGCAAATGTATTCAAAATACAAAACTGAAATATCACATTGACGAAAGTATTCAGACCCTTTACTCAGTACTTTGGTGAAGCACCTTTGGCAGCGATTACAGCCTTGAGTGTTCTTGGGTATAACGCTACAAGCTTGACACACCTGTATTTGGGGAGTTTCTTCCATTCTTCTCTGCAGATCCTCTCAAGCTCTGTCAGACTGGATGGGGAGCATTGCTGCACAACTATTTTAAGGTCTCTCCAGAGATGTTCGATCAGGTTCAAGTCCGGGCTCTGGCTGGGCAACTCAAGGACATTCAGAGACTTGTCCCGAAGCCACTCCTGCGTTGTCTTGGCTGTGTGCTTAGGGTCATTGTCCTGTTGGAAGGTGAACCTTCGCCCCAGTCTGAGGTCCTGAGCGCTCTGGAGCAGGTTTTCATCAAGGATCTCTCTGTACTTTTCTCCGTTCATCCATCCCTCAACCCTGACTAGTCTCCCAGTCCCTGCCACTGAAAAACATCCCCACAGCATGATGCTGCCACCACCATGCTTCACCATAGGGATGGTGTTGGCCAGGTGATGAGCGGTGCATGGTTTCCTCCAGACGTGACGCTTGGCATTCAGGCCAAAGAGTTCAATCTTGGTTTCATCAGAACAGAGAATCTTGTTTCTCATGGTCTGAGAGTCCTTTTTAGGTGCCTTTTGGCAAACTCCAAGCAGACTGTCATGTGCCTTTTACTGAGGAGTGGCTTCCATCTGGCCACTCTACCGTAAAGGTCTGATTTGGTGGAGTGTAGCAGAGATGGTTGTCCTTCTGGAAGGTTCTCCGATCTCCACAGAGGAGCTCTGTCAGAGTGACCATCGGGTTCTTGGTCACCTCCCTGACCAAGGCCCTTCTGCCCCGATTGCTCAGTTTGGCCAGGCGGCCAGCTCTAGGAAGAGTCGTGGTGGTTTCAAACTTCTTCCATTTAAGAGTGATTGAGGCCACTGTGTTCTTGGGGACCTTCAATGCTGCATAAATGTTTTGGTACCCTTCCCCAGGTCTGTGCCTCGACACAATTCTGTCTCTGAGCTCTACGGACAATTCCTTCGACCTCATGGCTTGGTCTCATAGCAAAGGGTCTGAATACTTATGTAAATAATGTATTTCTGTTTTTGTTTTTTTATACATTTGCAAAAATGTCTACAAACCTGTTTTCGCTTTGTCAGTATGGGGTATTGTGTGTAGATTGAGGGATAAAATAATAATAATAATCCATAATAGATAAGGCTACAACTTAACAAAATGTGGAAAAAGGGAAGATGTCTGAACACTTTCCGAATGCACTGTACATATGTGTGTTCACTGTACACAGGTCTTCCTACTTACAAAGCATGTAGAGGTCTGTAAGACCTGCACAAGGCTAGGATGGGCTACAGGACAATAGGCAAGCAGCTTGGTGAGAAGGCAACAACTGTTGGCGCAATTATTAGAAAATGGAAGAAGTTCAAGATGACGGTCAATCACCTTCGGTCTGGGGCTCCATGCAAGATCTCACCTCGTCACCTCATCAATGATCATGAGGAAGGTGAGGGATCAGCCCAGAACTACACAGCAGGACCTGGTCAATGACCTGAAGAGAGCTGGGACCACAGTCTCAAAGAAAACCATTAGTAACACACAGTAGCACACGCAAGGTCCCCCTGCTCAAGCCAGCGCATGTCCAGGCCCGTCTGAAGTTTGCCAATGACCATCTGGATGATCCAGAGGAGGAATGGGAGAAGGTCATGTGGTCTGATGAGACAAAAATAGAGCTTTTTGGTCCAAACTCCACTCGCCGTGTTTGGAGGAAGAAGAAGGATGAGTACAACCCCAAGAACACCATCCAAACCGTGAAGCATGGAGGTGGAAACATCATTCTTTGGGGATGCTTTTCTGCAAAGGGGACAGGACGACTGCATCATATTGAGGGGAGGATGGATGGGGCCATGTATTGCGAGATCTTGGCCAACAACCTCCTTCCCTCAGTAAGAGCTTGAAGATGGGTCGTGGCTGGGTCTTCCAGCATGACAACGACCCAAAACACACAGCCAGGGCAACTAAGGAGTGGCTCCGTAAGAAGCATCTCAAGGTCCTGGAGTGGCCTAGCCAGTCTCCAGACCTGAACCCAATAGAAAATCTTTGGAGGGAGCTGAAAGTCCGTATTGCCCAGCGACAGCCCCGAAACCTGAAGGATCTGGAGAAGGTCTGTATGGAGGAATGGGCCAAAATCCCTGCTGCAGTGTGTGCAAACCTGGTCAAGACCTACAGGAAACGTATGATCTCTGTAATTGCAAACAAAGGTTTCTGTACCAAATATTAAGTTCTGCTTCTCTGATGTATGAAATACTTATGTCATGCAATAAAATGCAAATGAATTACTTAAAAATCATACAATGTGATTTTCTGGATTTTTGTTTTAGATTCCGTCTCTCACAGTTGAAGTGTACCTATGATAAAAATTACAGACCTCTACATGCTTTGTAAGTAGGAAAACCTGTAAAATCGGCAGTGTATCAAATACTTGTTCTCCCCATCTATCTATGGAAGGGTGTGAGAACCAAGAGCCTCCTAGGTTTTGTATTGAAGTCAATGTACCAAGAGGAGGACGGAAGCTAGCTGTCCTCCGGCTATACCATGGTGCTACCCTACAACAGAGTGCTGTTGAGGCTACTGCAAAACAGTGTGTTTTAATCAATTATCTGGTGACGTGAATATATTTAGTATATTTTTTCAATGTTTTACTATTTTTAATTTAATGAAATTCACTGAGGAGGATGGTCCTCCCCTTCCTCCTCTGAGGAGCCTCCACTGGTTATGTTGGATTTGCCCCAAACATAACACTTTGTATTCAGGACAGTTAATTTCTTTGCCACATTTTTTGCAGTTTTACTCTAGTGCCTTATTGCAAACAGGATACATGTTTTGGAATATTTTTATTCTGTACAGGCTTCCACTCTGTCATTTAGGTTAGTATTGTGGATTAACTACAATGTTGTTAATCCAGCCTCAGTTTTCTCCTATTACAGCTATTAAACTCTGTAACTGTTTTAGTCACCACTGGCCTCATGGTGAAATCCCTGAGCGGTTTCCTTCCTTTTTGGCAACTGAATTAGGAAGGACGCCTGTATCTTTGTAGTGACTGGGTGTATTGATACACCATCCAAAGTGTAATTAATAACTTCACCATGCTCAAAGGGATATTCAAGGTCTGTGTTTATTATTTTTACCCATCTACCAGTAGGTGCCTTCAAAAGCGAGGCATTGGAAAACCTCCCTGGTCTTTGGTTGAATCATGTTAAACACTATTATTGGACCAGAGAGTGTCCATGCAACTTATTATGTGACTTGTTAAGCAAATGTTTACTCCTGAACTTATTTAGGCTTGCCATAACAAAGGGGTTGAATACTTATTGACTCAAGAAATTTCAGCTTTTCATTTTTCATTAATTTGTAAAAATGTCTAAAAACATGATCACACTTTGACATTATGGGGTATTGTGTTTAGGCCATTGAAACACAATATCAATTTATTCCATTTTAAATTAAGGCTGTAACACAACAAAATGTGGAAAAGTCAAGGGGTGTGAATACGTTCTGAAGACACTGTATACAAGTATGTAATAATATGTGGTATATGATATTGAACTGTACTCTGTAACCACAGCAACAGAAGATGGCTCTCATGAGGAACAACTCATCTCTGCAGAACGTGACCCTTCGTACCAAAAGTCAGTACATGCAAACACGTGCGCACTCTACACACTTCAAATTATTTTTTACATACGCAAAGAAAAACGTTTTTTCCACTATTGAACTAGAATGTAATAACAATGTCAGTTTTGCAATTGAGCAAGAGTTACTGTAGTTTCACTTTTGAACTCTGAAATTGCATCTGATTGCATCTGTGGAGACTCCTTTTTCACTATGAGTGTTTCCCTTTTACAATATTCCACTATATTCCTCTTCTCCTTCCTCCTCTATTCCCTCCTCTTCTTCCTCCCCCTCTTCCTCCTACTCCTCTTCCCCCTACTCCTCTTCCCTGTCCTCCTCCTTTATCTACTCCTCGTTAGCCCCCATGATGAGGGAACGCCCCAGCTCAGCCATCTACCACTCTGACAATCTCTGCCAATCCCTGCTGGGCTCACGCCGCGGACGCTCCGGCCTTTCCCTCTCCAAGAGCGTCTCCACCAATAACATTGCAGGGTGAGCGCCGCCACCGCCTGCTCATTGGCCAAAGCACAAAAAAGGGGAGGTTACGAGGGAAACCACAGGCAATGTTGTCATTGACATTAATAGTGACATCATGCCTATATATGTCTGCCACATATACACTTTTCAGTAGAAATGAAAGTCCCACTCACTAATTAATATATATATATGTATGTATGTGTATATATATATATATATGTGTGTGTGTACATGTACAGTCGTGGTCAAAAGTTATGAGAATGACACAAGTATTGGTCTTCACAAAGTTTGCTGCTTCAGTGTTATGGTCCCCTGTAGCTCAGTTGGTAGAGCATGGCGCTTGCAATACCAGGGCTGTGGGTTCGTTTCCCACAGGGGGCCAGTATGAAAAATTTATGCACTCACTAAATGTAAGTCGCTCTGGATAAGAGCGTCTGCTAAATGACTAAAATGTAAACGTAAAATGTTATGAGATATTTTTGTCAGATGTTACTATGGTATACTGAAGTATAATTACAAGCATTCCATAACTGTCAAAGGCTTTTATTGACAATTACATTAAGTTTATGCAAAGAGTCAATATTTGCAGTGTTGACCCTTCTTTTTCAAGACCTCTGTAATCCGCCCTGGCATGCTTTCAATTAACTTCTGGTCCACATCCTGCCTGATGGCAGCCCATTCTTGCATAATCAATGCTTGGAGTTTGTCAGAATTTGTTGGTTTTTGTTTGTCCACCCGCCTCTTGAGGATCGACCACAAGTTCTCAATGGGATTAAGGTCTGGGGAGTTTCCTGGCCATGGACCCAAAATGTCGATGTTTTGTTCCCCGAGCCACTTAGTTATCACTTTTGCCTTATGGCAAGGTGCTCCATCATGCTGGAAAAGGCATTGGTCATCACCAAACTGTTCTTGGATGGTTGGGAGAAGTTGCTTTCGGAGGATGTGTTGGTACCATTCTTTATTCATGGCTGTGTTCTTAGGCAAAATTATGAGTGAGCCCACTCCCTTGGCTGAGAAGCAACCCCACACATGAATGGTCTCAGGATGCTTTACTGTTGGCATGACACAGGACTGATGGTAGCGCTCACCTTGTCTTCTCCGGACAAGGTGTTTTCCAGATGCCCCAAACAATCGGAAAGGGGATTAATTAGAGAAAATGACTTTACCCCAGTCCTCAGCAGTCCAATCACTGTACCTTTTGCAGAATATCAGTCTGTCCCTGATGTTTTTCCTGGAGAGAAGGGGCTTCTTTGTTGCCCTTCTTGACACCAGGCCATCCTCCAAAAGTCTTCGCCTTACTGTGCGTGCAGATGCACTCACACCTGCCTGCTGCCATTCCTGAGCAAGCTCTGCACTGGTGGTGCCCCGATCCCGCAGCTGAATCAACTTTAGGAGACGGTCCTGGCGCTTGCTGGACTTCCTTGGGCGCCCTGATGCCTTCTTCACAACAATTGAACCTCTCTCCTTGAAGTTCTTGATGATCCGATAAATGGTTGATTTAGGTACAATCTTACTAGCAGCGATATCCTTGCCTGTGAAGCCCTTTTTGTGCAAAGCAATGATGACGGCACGTGTTTCCTTGCAGGTAACCATGGTTAACAGAGGAAGAACATTGATTTCAAGCACCACCCTCCTTTTAAAGCTTCCAGTCTGTTATTCTAACTCAATCAGCATGACAGAGGGATCTCCAGCCGTGTCCTCGTCAACACTCTCACCTGTGTTAACAAGAGAATCACTGATATGATGGCAGCTGGTCCTTTTGTGGCATGGCTGAAATGCAGTGGGAATGTTTTTTGGTGATTAAGTTCATTTTCATGGCAAAGAGGGACTTTGCAATTAATTGCAATTCATCTGATCACTCTTCATGACATTCTGGAGTATATGCAAATTGCCATCATCAAAACCTGAGGCAGCAGACTTTGTGAAAATTAGTATTTGTGTCATTCTCAACTTTTGACCACGACTGTATATATATGTGTTTGTGTGTGTGTGTGTGTGTGTGTGTGTGTGTGTGTGTGTATATATATACATGTGTATGTATACATATATATACATATATGTATATATGTATATGTATATATACACATATGTGTGTGTGTGTGTGTGTGTGTGTGTGTATAGATATATATATATATCTATATACACGGTGCATTCGGAAAGTATTGTTGTGGAAATTCTAAAAAATAATGAGGAGAGACAAGGTCAATCACCAATCAGGATATTACTTTATTAATAAGGGAGCAGGTCACAACACAAACACATGAATATAGTGAGTGCGCTGCAATAATGAGGCTGGCCGAGAGTTCTGACATACAAAGAATACAAAGGTATTTTATAGCAAAGATACAACTTCTCAGTCTACATGACAAACAGCAGATGTGTGGAATGGGTCAAAAGGTTAGGATTTGTATGAAATAAATGAATAATTCACAGAAGACAGTATCTGCTGTGAAGACTGTTCTTATTGTATGCAAACCAGAGTTTGGCCCCTAAAACAAGGTTCCTCTCATCATTATCCATACCCAAGCCATCTCCTCCCTTTTACTCCCAGTATACAAACACCAACCCATCCTATGGAATGCAGGCTCCCTCTCACACACCACTAATCATAGAATGGAATGTGGCTGTTGGTTTTATCACCTAGCCATCACTTAATCAGTTGCCAGCCCAAGCTTCAGAGGCTCCTCTCAGTTCACACAGACACAGGAGAGAGTTCTAAGAACCATATTCTATTGCATAAAACAACCATTTTGATGCATAAAGAGTATTAAACATAATATTATAATTGTTCTACCATAGTACTCAGACCCCTTGACTTTATCCACATTTTGTTACGTTACAGCCTTATTCTAAAATTTATTAAATTAATGTTTTTCTTCATCAATCTACACACAATACCCCATAATGACAAAGTGAAAACAGATTTGTAGAAATTTTTGCAAATGTATTAAACTTAAAAACAGAAATACCTTATTTGCATAAGTATTCAGACCTTTTGCTATGAGACTCGAAATTGAGCTCAGGTGCATCCTGTTTCCATTGATCATCCTTGAGATGTTTCTACAACTTCATTGGTAAATTCAATTGAGTGGACTTGATTTGGAAAGGCACACACCTGTCTATATAAGGTCCTGCAGTTGACAGTGCATGTCAGAGCAAAATCGAAGCCATGAGGTGGAAGGAATTGTCCGTAGAGCTCCGAGACAGGATTGTGTCGAGGCACAGATCTGGGGACGGGTACCAAAAAATGTCTGCAGCATTGAAGGTCCCCAAGAACACAGTGGCCTCCATCATTCTTAAATGGAAGAAGTTTGGAACCACCAAGACTCTTCCTAGAGCTGGCCGCCCGGCCAAACTGAGCAATCTGGGGAGAAGGGCCTTGGTCAGGGAGGTGACCAAGAACCTTATGGTCACTCTGACAGAGCTCTAAAGTTCCTCTGTGGAGATGGGAGAATCTTCCTGAAGGACAAGCATCTCTGCAGCACTCCACCAATCAAGCATTTATGGTAGAGTGGCCAGACGGAAGCCCATCCTCAGTAAAGGCCACATGACAACCCGCTTGGAGTTTGCCAAAAAGCACATAAAGGACTCTCAGACCATGAGAAACAAGATTCTCTGGTCTGATGAAACCAAGCTTGAACTCTTTGGCCTGAATGCAAAGCGTCACGTCTGGAGGAAACCTGGCACCATCCCTACAGTGAAGCATCATGTTGTGGGGATGTTTTTCAGTGGCAGGGACTGGGAGACTAGTCAGGATCGAGGGAAAGATGAACAGAGCAAAGTACAGAGAGATCCTTGATGGAAACCTGCTCCAGAGTGCTCAGGACCTCAGACTGGGGCGAAGGTTAACCTTCCAACAGGACAACGACCGTTAGCACACAGCCAAGACAACGCAGGAGTGGCTTCGGGACAAGTCTCTGAATGTCCTTGAGTGGCCCAGTCAGAGCCCGGACTTGAATCCGATCTAACATCTCTGGAGAGACCTGAAAATAGCTGTGCAGCGACACTCTCCATCCAACCTGACAGAGCTTGAGAGGATCTGCAGAGAAGAATGGGAAAAAACAAAACAAATAAAGTTGTGCCAAGCTGTATCGTCAGACCCAAGACTTGAGGCTGTAATCGCTGCAAAAGGGGTCTGAATATTTTTTAATTATTTTTGTCATTTAGCAGACGCTCTTATCCAGAGCGACTTACAGTTAGTGAGTGCATACATTATTTTTTTATTTTATTTTTCATAATGGCCCCCAAACCTGCTTTTTTGCAATAGTCACTGATTTGGCTTTCAAGTATGTCTATGAAAATTCAAATTTCGTTCAACATTTAACCAGAACCATGCATAATGCACATTCACTAATAATTACCAACTTCTTGTAATAGGCATTATAGAAAATTTACACAGGTCTCCATATAAACAATCTCTCAAGCACAAGCCCACGTGCTACTGAGTAGCCAGCTAATCTTTATATTTAAAGTCTGGCCAACTTGGATGTATTTGCTAGCTAACAAGGTAGAACAGTTGAATTGTTATGAACACACCCTTCTGTCTGTCTCCAACTGTTTGAACAGCATGCTAGCCTGTCCACTTTGTTCATATGTTGAACTCAAGTGGACTACCTTATTTCTCAGAATGAGAACAAGTAGCCAATTCCTTATATAACTGCTCATTGCACATTTATAAAACACAGACTAGACAGCTAGTATAACAGTCTGTGGCTAAAATGCTGCTAGCGGTACATGGTAACGCAATACCACGTGCGACAGAAACTGAGCATTAGTTTTCCAGAATCAATGTTCATTGATACTCTCGTTTTAGTAGGGTCTGCTCTCTGCGCAATTTGAGGAGCTGAGACATAAAAAGGGTATCGTTAGAAAGGTTAACTTCTCCTCTATTACAGTAAAATAATGTCTCAATGTGTTTCGGTGTCCATATGACCGGTTCTGTTCAAAATGCAAGTAGTGAGTTGAAACCGTTTGTTGTCAGAGAGGAAGAAGTGATCTTTCGTCTTTGTTGTTGTGAGTGGCAGGTGGAGGGGCTTGGTGTCTGTGTGCAAGTGCGAATGTGTACACAGCACAGAAGGAGCAAAGGAGACGAGACCAAAAAGACAAAAGCTCATAAAAACGAATAAAATAACATTAGGACCTCGATTCTTGCGATACAGGCATTTGGAACATCACGCTAAAACATAAATTAGAATGAATCAAATTAATTACATATATCGCCCAACCCTAATTCAGCCTTCTATTCCATCTGTCTGCAACAAACGTTAAACATTGTATCAACTATCAACTGGGTCCTGCCCGAAGCTCACGCTATAGCAAACTTACACCATTGTATAAACTATTCTGGGCCCTCAGAGTTTGCTGCACCAGTGAGCTCCGGACCAGGGCCACTGGAAAACATGTGGCAAGGCGACATTTGCCATAGCACTTTTCAATCAGAGTCATGGAAATCACAGGCTGCAGGCTCTTTGTATGTGTTGTCCATGGGATGGACCACGGTAATTATTTGCTAGGATAATAATTACTTGTCAATAAATTAAATGTAATGCAATTGCAATCCGGGTTATATGTTAAAATCCTACGCACTGCCAACATTATTACGCATATTAATTGATAATGATGGAAAATAAGATATGCAAGATATTTGAATAGATATATATTTTTAAATAGTTATATAGAGAGGTGACAGCATTGGAAATGCTTTTGGCGGTTAATCTGCTTCTGTTTTGTGCATGGCACTGTGTGCTGTTTTCAATGGATGGGTCCTGGCCTCTCGGGCCCTAGGGATCCAGAGGGATGTGGGTGGGATGCCGATCACTGGGATGACGGCTCAACATGGGATGGGGAGGGGCTTTAGCGGGGGAATTATTGGTGAACAATTGAAGGGATACTTAGTAGCAATGCAAATATCATGGTACAGCTATATGGACACTCAATCATTACGGTATTTTTTATTGGTAAATTTACAAACATATATAATGATAAATAGACTTGAAACTTGTATCTCATTATGGTGTATGGTGAAATAAGTATAGCCAGTTATAATTGTAATGGCTTAGCTGATAATAACAAAAGAAGAACAATATTTACATGGCTCAAAGAGAAGGAATATAATATCTATTGTGTACAGGAAACTCATTCAACAATTCTAGATGAAGTTGCGTGGGAAAAGGAATGGGGGGGGGGGGGCGAAATATACTTCTCCCATGGGCAAAGAAATTCAAAAGGGGTGATGATATTAATTTATAGTAATTTCGATCCGAATGCACGAAATTATTTTTTTATCTTCAACATAGGAATGCTACCAAAAATAATTTAAAGAAACTGGTTACAATTGACGGAGTAACCCATGATTCACCAAATTATATTTTGAAGGAGGAAACAAGGTACTTTAAGCAAATGTTTTCGTTTCAGTCGCCTACATCTCCTCTAACGGAAGCTAATTGTAGAGATTTTTTTTCTATTGATAATGTAAAATTAACAGCCAAACAGAAAGACTCATGTGAGGGTGAAATTACAGAGGAGGAACTTCTGGATGCAATTAAAGACTTTAAGTCCGGGAAAACTCCAGGGTTGGATGGCATACCAGTCGAAGTATACCAAACCTTTTTTGATATACTAAGAGGACCGTTATTAGCATGTTTTAACCACACCTATGTAAATGGTAGATTATCTGACACTCAAGAAGAAGGTCTGATCTCATTACTACTGAAACAGGATACAAGTGGAAAATATAAAGATCCAGTCCATTAAAAAAATTGGAGGCCCCTTAAACTTCAGTGTTGTGATGCAAAAATTCTAGCAAAATGTATAGCGCATAGAATTAAAAAGGTATTGTCGGATATTATTCATTCTAATCAGACAGGTTTTTTACATGGAAGATACATTGGAGATAATATAAGGCAAGTTTTGGAAACAATAGAACATCTTGGAAAATCTGAGAAACCAGGCCTGCTATTCATAGCAGACTTGTAAAAGGCATTTGATAAAGTACGACTGGGGTTTATATATAAATGCCTGGAGCATTTGAATTTTGGTGAATCTCTTATAAAATGGGTCAAAATCATGTATAGTAACCGTAGGTGTAAAATAGTAAATAATGGCTATTTCTCAGAAAGTTTTAAACTGTCAAGAGGAGTGAAACAAGGTTGTCCACTATCGGCATATCTATTTATTCTGGCCATCGAGATGTTGACTATTAAAATCAGATCCAACAATAATATCAGGGGATTAGAAATCCAGTGCTTAAAAACAAAGGTGTCATTGTACGCTGATGATTCATGTTTTCTTTTAAATCCACAACTAGAATATACTCCACAGCCTCATAGAGGATCTAGATACATTTTCTAACCGCTCTGGATTACAACCAAATTATGACAAATGTACTATATTACGTATTGGATCAATAAAAAATAAAAAATGTACATTGCTATGTAGTTTACCAATAAAATGGTCTGATGGTGATGTGGATATACTCGGAATACATATCCCAAAGGAAATAAATGATCTCACTTCAATAAATTATAATAGAAAGTTAGCAAAAAAAGATAAGATCTTGCTACCATGGAAAGGTGGGTGCCTGTCAATTTGTGGAAAAATCACCCTGATTAACTCTTTAGTATTATCCCAGTTTACCCATTTGTTTATGGTCTTGCCTACGCCTAGCGAACAGTTTTTTTAATTACAGTGAGGGAAAAAAGTATTTGATTCCCTGCTGATTTTGTACGTTTGCCCACTGACAAAGACATGATCAGTCTGTAATTTTAATGGTAGGTTTATTTTAACAGTGAGAGACAGAATAACAACAAAAAAATCCAGAAAAACGCATGTCAAAAATGTTATGAATTGATTTGCATTTTAATGAGGGAAATAAGTATTTGACCCCTCTGCAAAACATGTCTTAGTACTTGGTGGCAAAACCCTTGTTGGCAATCACAGAGGTCAGACGTTTCTTGTAGTTGGCCAGCAGGTTTGCACACATCTCAGGAGGGATTTTGACCCACTCCTCTTTGCAGATCTTCTCTGTCATTAAGGTTTCGAGGCTGACGTTTGGCAACTCGAACCTTCAGCTCCCTCCACAGATTGTCTATGGGATTAAGGTCTGGAGACTGGGCAGGCCACTCCAGGACCTTAATGTGCTTCTTCTTGAGCCACTCCTTTGTTGCCTTGGCCGTGTGTTTTGGGTCATTGTCATGCTGGAATACCCATCCACGACCCATTTTCAATGCCCTGGCTGATGGAAGGAGGTTCTCACCACGTCCATCATCCCTTTGATGTGGTGAAGTTGTCCTGTCCACTTAGCAGAAAAACACCCCCAAAGCATAATGTTTCCACATCCATGTTTGACGGTGGGGATGGTGTTCTTGGGGTCATAGGCAGCATTCCTCCTCCTCCAAACACAGCGAGTTGAGTTGATGCCAAAGAGCTCGATTTTGGTCTCATCTGACCACAACACTTTCACCCAGTTCTCCTCTGAATCATTCAGATGTTCATTGGCAAACTTCAGACGGGCATGTACAGTGGGGAAAAAAAAATATTTAGTCAGCCACCAATTGTGCAAGTTCTCCCACTTTAAAAGATGAGAGAGGCCTGTAACATTCATCATAGGTACACGTCAACTATGACAGACAAATGAGAGAAAAAAATCCTGAAAATCACATTGTAGGATTTTTAATGAATTTCTTTGCAAATTATGGTGGAAAATAAGTATTTGGTCAATAACAAAAGTTTCTCAATACTTTGTTATATACCCTTTGTTGGCAATGACACAGGTCAAACATTTTCTGTAAGTCTTCACAAGGTTTTCACACACTGTTGCTGGTATTTTGGCCCATTCCTCCATGCAGATCTCCTCTAGAGCAGTGATGTTTTGGGGCTGTCGCTGGGCAACACGGACTTTCAACTCCCTCCAAATATTTTCTATGGGGTTGAGAACTGGAGACTGGCTAGGCCACTCCAGGACCTTGAAATGCTTCTTACGAAGCCACTCCTTCGTTGCCCGGGCGGTGTGTTTGGGATCATTGTCATGCTGAAAGACCCAGCCACGTTTCATCTTCAATGCCCTTGCTGATGGAAGGAGGTTTTAACTCAAAATCTCACAATACATGGCCCCATTCATTCTTTCCTTTACACGGATCAGTCGTCCTGGTCCCTTTGCAGAAAAACAGCCCCAAAGCATGATGTTTCCACCCCCATGCTTCACAGTAGGTATGGTGTTCTTTGGATGCAACTCAGCATTCTTTGTCCTCCAAACACGACGAGTTGAGTTTTTACCAAAAAGTTCTATTTTGGTTTCATCTGACCTTATGACATTCTCCCAATCCTCTTCTGGATCATCCAAATGCACTCTAGCAAACTTCAGACGGGCCTGGACATGTACTGGCTTAAGCAGGGGGACATGTCTGGCACTGCAGGATTTGAGTCCCTGGCGGCGTAGTGTGTTACTGATGGTAGGCTTTGTTACTTTGGTCCCAGCTCTCTGCAGGTCATTCACTAGGTCCCCCCGTGTGGTTCTGGGATTTTTGCTCACCGTTCTTGTGATCATTTTGACCGCACAGGGTGAGATCTTGCGTGGAGCCCCAGATCGAGGGAGATTATCAGTGGTCTTGTATGTCTTCCATTTCCTAATAATTGCTCCCACAGTTGATTTCTTCAAACCAAGCTGATTACCTATTGCAGATTCAGTCTTCCCAGCCTGGTGCAGGTCTACAATTTTGTTTCTGGTGTCCTTTGACAGCTCTTTGGTCTTGGCCATAGTGGAGTTTGGAGTGTGACTGTTTGAGGTTGTGGACAGGTGTCTTTTATACTGATAACAAGTTCAAACAGGTGCCATTAATACAGGTAACGAGTGGAGGACAGAGGAGCCTCTTAAAGAAGAAGTTACAGGTCTGTGAGAGCCAGAAATCTTGCTTGTTTGTAGGTGACCAAATACTTATTTTCCACCATAATTTGCAAATAAATTCATAAAAAATCCTACAATGTGATTTTCTGGAATTTTTTTCCTCATTTTGTCTGTCATAGTTGACTTGTACCTATGATGAAAATTACAGGCCTCTCTCATCTTTTTAAGTGGGAGAACTTGCACAATTGGTGGCTGACTAAATACTTTTTTCCCCCACTGTATGTGCTTTCTTGAGCAGGGGGACCTTGCGGGCGCTGCAGGATTTCAGTCCTTCACGGCGTAGTGTGTTACCAATTGTTTTCTTGGTGACTATGGTCCCAGCTGCCTTGAGATCATTGACAATATCCTCCTGTGTAGTTCTGGGCTGATTCCTCACCGTTGTCATGATCATTGCAACTCCACGAGGTGAGATCTTGCATGGAGCCCAAGGCCGAGGGAGATTGACAGTTATTTTGTGTTTCTTCCATTTGCGAATAATCGCACCAACTGTTGTCACCTTCTCACCAAGCTGTTTGGCGATGGTCTTGTAGCCCATTCCAGCCTTGTGTAGGTCTACAATCTTGTCCCTGACATCCTTGGAGAGCTCTTTGGTCTTGGCCATGGTGGAGAGTTTAGAATCTGATTGATTGATTGCTTCTGTGGACAGGTGTCTTTTTTACAGGTAACAAACTGAGATTAGGAGCACTCCCTTTAAGAGTGTATTCCTAATCTCAGCTCGTTACCTGTATAAAAGAGACCTGGGAGCCAGAAATCTTTCTGATTGAGACGGGGTCAAATACTCCTTTCCCTCATTTAAATGCAAATCAATTTATAACATTTCTGACATGCATTTTTCTGGATTTTTTTGTTGATATTCTGTCTCTCACTGTTCAGACAAACGTACCAATAAAATTATAGACTGATCATTTCTTTGTCAGTGGGCAAACGTACAAAATCAGCAGGGGATCAAATACTTTTTTCCCTCACTGTACATACATACATATATACATACATACATACATACATACATACATACATACATACAGTGGGGAGAACAAGTATTTGATACACTGCCGATTTTGCAGGTTTTCCTACTTACAAAGCATGTAGAGGTCTGTCATTTTTATCATAGGTACACTTCAACTGTGAGAGACGGAATCTAAAACAAAAATCCAGAAAATCACATTGTATGATTTTTAAGTAATTAATTTGCATTTTATTGCATGACATAAGTATTTGATCACCTACCAACCAGTAAGAATTCCGGCTCTCACAGACCTGTTAGTTTTTCTTTAAGAAGCCCTCCTGTTCTCCACTCATTACCTGTATTAACTGCACCTGTTTGAACTCGTTACCTGTATAAAAGACACCTGTCCACACACTCAATCAAACAGACTCCAACCTCTCCACAATGGCCAAGACCAGAGAGCTGTGTAAGGACATCAGGGATAAAATTGTAGACCTGCACAAGGCTGAGATGGGCTAAAGGACAATAGGCAAGCAGCTTGGTGAGAAGGCAACAACTGTTGGCGCAATTATTAGAAAATGGAAGAAGTTCAAGATGACGGTCAATCACCCTCGGTCTGGGGCTCCATGCAAGATCTCACCTCGTGGGGCATCAATGATCATGAGGAAGGTGAGGGATCAGCCCAGAACTACACGGCAGAACCTGGTCAATGACCTGAAGAGAGCTGGGACCAGTCTCAAAGACAACCATTAGTAACACACTACGCCGTCATGGATTAAAATCCTGCAGCACACGCAAGGTCCCCCTGCTCAACCCAGCGCATGTCCAGGCCCGTCTGAAGTTTGCCAATGACCATCTGGATGATCCAGAGGAGGAATGGGAGAAGGTCATGTGGTCTGATGAGACAAAAATAGAGCTTTTTGGTCTAAACTCCACTCGCCATGTTTGGAGGAAGAAGAAGGATGAGTACAACCCCAAGAACACCATCCCAACCATGAAGCATGGAGGTGAAAACATCATTCTTTGGGGATGCTTTTCTGCAAAGGGGACAGGACGACTGCACCGCATTGAGGGGAGGATGGATGGGGCCATGTATCGCGAGATCTTGGCCAACAACCTCCTTCCCTCAGTAAGAGCATTGAAGATGGGTCGTGGCTGGGCCTTCCAGCATGACAACGACCCGAAACACACAGCCAGGGCAACTAAGGAGTGGCTCCGTAAGAAGCATCTCAAGGTCCTGGAGTGGCCTAGCCAGTCTCCATTCCTGAACCCTTTGAAGGGAGCTGAAAGTCCGTATTGCCCAGCGACAGCCCCGAAACCTGAAGGATCTGGAGAAGGTCTGAATGGAGGAGTGGGCCAAAATACCTGCTGCAGTGTGTGCAAACCTGGTCAAGACCTACAGGAAACGTATGATCTCTGTATTTGCAAACAAAGGTTTCTGTACCAAATATTAAGTTCTGCTTTTCTGATGTATCAAATACTTATGTCATGCAATAAAATGCAAATTAATTACTTAAAAATCATACAACGTGATTTTCTGGATTTTTGTTTTAGATTCCGTCTCTCACAGTTGAAGTGTACCTATGATAAAAATTACAGACCTCTACATGCTTTGTAAGTAGGAAAACCTGCAAAATCGGCAGTGTATCAAATACTTGTTCTCCCCACTGTACATACAGTTGAAGTCGGAGGTTTACATACACCTTTGTCAAATACATTTAAACTCAGTTTTTCACAATTCCTGACATTTAAATTTAGTAAAAATTCCCTCTCTTAGGTCAGTTAGGATCACCACTTTATTTTAAGAATGTGAAATGTCAGAATAATAGTAGAGAGTGATTTATTTCAGCTTTTATTTCTTTCATCACATTCACAGTGGGTCAGAAGTATACATACACTCAATTAGTATTTGGTAGCATTGCCTTTAAATTGTTTAACTTGGGTCAAACGTTTCGGGTAGCCTTCCACAAGCTTCCCACAATAAGTTGGGTGAGTTTTGGCCCATTCCTCCTGACAGAGCTGGTCAGGTTTGTAGGCCTCCTTGCTCGCACACACTTTTTCAGTTCTGCCCACACATTTTCTATAGGATTGAGATCAGGGCTTTGTGATGGCCACTCCAATACCTTGACTTTTATGTCCTTAAGCCATTTTGCCACAACTTTGGAAGTATGCTTGGGGTCATTGTCCATTTGGAAGACCCATTTGCGACCAAGCTCTAACTTCCTGACTGATGTCTTGAGATGTTGCTTCAATATATCCACATAATTTTCCTTCCTCATGATGCCATCTATTTTGTGAAGTGCACCAGTCCCTCCTGCAGCAAAGCACCCCCACAGCATGATGCTGCCACCCCTGTGCTTCACGGTTGGGATGGTGTTCTTCGGCTTGCAAGCTACCCCCTGTTTCCTCCAAATATAACGATGGTCATTACGGCCAAACAGGTCTATTTTTGTTTCATCAGACCAGAGAACTTTTCTCCAAAAAGTTTGATCTTTGTCCCCATGTTCAGTTGCAAACCGTAGTCTGGCTTTTTTATGGCGGTTTTGGAGCAGTGGCTTCTTCCTTGCCGAGCGGCCTTTCAGGTTATGTCGATATAGGACTCGTTTTACTGTGAATATTGATACTTTTGTACCTGTTTCCTCCAGTATCTTCACAAGTTCCTTTGCTGTTGTTCTGTGATTGATTTGCACTTTTCGCACCAAAGTACGTTCATCTCTAGCAGACAGAACGCGTCTCCTTCCTGAGCGGTATGATGGCTGCGTGGTCCCATGGTGTTTATACTTCCGTACTATTGTTTGTACAGATGAACGTGGTACCTTCAGGCATTTGGAAATTAATCCCAAGGATGAACCAGACTTGTGGATGTCTACAATAATTTTTCTGAGGTCTTGGCTGATTTCTTTTGATTTCCCCATGATGTCAAGCAAAGAGGCACTGAGTTTGAAGGTAGGCCTTGAAATACAGCAACATGTACACCTCCAGTTGACTGAAATGATGTCAATTAGCATATCAGAAGCTTCGAAAGCCATTACATCATTTTCTGGAATTTTCCAAGCTGTTTAAAGGCACAGTCAACTTAGTGTATGTAAACCTCTGACCCACTGGAATTGTGATACAGTGAATTATAAGTGAAATAATCTGTCTGTAAACAATTGTTGGAAAAATTACTTGTGTCATGCACAAAGTAGATGTCCTAACCGACTTGCCACTTGAGTAGGTGTGTTTTAGCACACCTACTCATTCAAGAGTTTTACTTAATTGTAGAATAATAGTGAAGACATCAAAACTATGAAATAACACATATGGAATCATGTAGGAACCAACAAAGTGTTAAACAAATCAAAATATATTTTATACTTGAGATTCTTCAAATAGCCACCCTTTGCCTTGATGACAGCTTTGCACACTCTGTGCAACCTGTCCAGTCATGTGAAATCTATAGATTAAGGCCTAACAAATGTATTTCAATTGACTGATTTCCTTATATGAACTGTAACTCAGTAAAATCTTTGAAATTGTTGCATGTTGCGTTTATATTTTTGTTCAGTGTATATATACAGTACCAGTCAAAAGTTTGGACACACCTACTCATTCAAGGGTTTTTCTTTATTTTTACTATTTTCTACATTGTAGAATAATAGTGAAGACATCAACACTATGAAATAACGCATATGGAATCATGTAGTAACCAGAAAAGTGTTAAACCAATCAAAATATATTTTATATTTGAGATTCTTCAAATAGCCACCCTTTGCCTTGATGACAGCTTTGCACACTCTTGGCATTCTCTCAACCAGCCAAGAAACACGAGCAATGGACTTTAGACCGGTGGAAATGTGTCCTTTGGTCTGAAATTTGAGATTTTTGGTTCCAACCGCTGTGGCTTTGTAAGAAGCGGTGTGGGTGAACGGATGATCTCAGCATGTGTAGTTCCCACCGTAAAGCATGGAGGAGGAGGTGTTATGGTGTGGGGGTGCTTTGCTGGTGACACTGTCTGTGATTTATTTAGAATTCAAGGCACACTTAACCAGCATGGCTACCACAGCATTCTGCAGCGATACGCCATCCCATCTGGTTTGGGCTTAGTGGGACTATCATTTGTTTTTCAACAGGACAATGACCCAACACACCTGCAGGCTGTGTAAGGGCTATTTGACCAAGAAGGAGAGTGATGGAGTGCTGCATCAGATGACCTGGCCTCCACAATCCCCCGACTTCAATCCAATTGAGATGGTTTGGGATGAGTCACACCGCAGAGTGAAGTAAAAGCAGCCAACAAGTGCTCAGCATATGTGGGAACTCCTTCAAGACTGTTGGAAAAGCATTCCAGGTCAAGCTGGTTGAGAGAATGCCAGGAGTGTGCAAAGCTGTCATCAAGGCAAAGGGTGGCTATTTGAAGTATCTCAAATATAAAATATATTTTGATTTGTTTAACACTTTTTTGGTTCCTACATGACTCCATATGTGTTATTTTATAGTTTTGATGTCTTCACTATTATTCTACAATGTAAAAAATTGTAGAAATAAAGAAAAACCCTTGAATTAGTAGATGTGTCCAAACTTTTGACTGGTAGTGTGTGTGTGTGTGTGTGTATATGTATATATATATATTACTGTATCGATATCTCTTTGTACTTTTGTTGTTTTCTGTGTTCTCATACATACTTATGTGGATGGTTTCTGTGTGTGTATACTGCACGTGCATGTGAATATTATACATGTTTCTTGGTGCATGTGTATATATGTATATTTGTGTTTTTGTCCTGGTGTGTGTATGTGTCCTCGTCCATGCCTCGGTATAGGAACCTGAATGATGACTCTCCCTTGGGGCTGCGCAGGATCCTGTCCCAGTCCACAGACTCGCTCAACTTCAGGAACAGAGCTATGTCCATGGAGTCGCTCAACGACGAGGGTAAGACACAGTGATGTGGTTGTGACTTCCTGGGATTGAATGTGGGACATTTGTGCTCTATATTTGCTACAAATCTTAAGCCTAGGCATACAGATTGTGTAGTTTATGCAAGTCTTTGGGTCTGGGACAAGGTTGCATCCGTTACATAGTGAAAGTCTCAGGGATTTCGGGTAGAGGGTAAAAGGGATATTGGCAACTGTCATGTCATCATATCTATGTCTACAGTGGGGAGAACAAGTATTTGATACACTGCCGATTTTGCAGGTTTTCCTACTTATAAAGCATGTAGAGGTTTGTAATTTTTATCATAGGTAAACTTCAACTGTGAGAGACGGAATCTAAAACAAAAATCCAGAAAATCACATTGTATGATTTTTAAGTAATTAATTTGCATTTTATTGCATGACATACGGTGAGGGGGAAAAAAGTATTTGATCCCCTGCTGATTATGTACGTTTGCCCACTGACAAAGAAATGATCAGTCTATAATTTTAATGGTAGCTTTATTTGAACAGTGAGAGACAGAATAACAACAATAAAATCCAGAAAAACGCATGTCAAAAATGTAATAAATTGATTTGCATTTTAATGAGGGAAATAAGTATTTGACCCCCTCTCAATCAGAAAGATTTCTGGCTCCCAGGTGTCTTTTATACAGGTAACGAGCTGAGATTAGGAGCACACTCTTAAAGGGAGTGCTCCTAATCTCAGCTTGTTACCTGTATAAAAGACACCTGTCCACAGAAGCAATCAATCAATCAGATTGCAAACTCTCCACCATGGCCAATACCAAAGAGCTCTCCAAGGATGTCAGGGACAAGATTGTAGACCTACACAAGGCTGGAATGGGCTACAAGACCATCGCCAAGCAGCTTGGTGAGAAGGTGACAACAGTTGGTGCGATTATTCGCGAATGGAAGAAACACAAAATAACTGTCAATCTCCCTGGGCCTGGGGCTCCATGCAAGATCTCACCTCGTGGAGTTGCAATGATCATGAGAATGGTGAGGAATCAGCCCAGAACTACACGGGAGGATCTTGTCAATGATCTCAAGGCAGCTGGGACCATAGTCACCAAGAAAACAATTGGTAACACACTACGCCGTGAAGGACTGAAATCCTGCAGCGCCCGCAAGGTCCCCCTGCTCAAGAAAGCACATATACAGGCCCGTAAGAAGTTTGCCAATGAACATCTGAATGATTCAGAGGAGAACTGGTTGAAAGTGTTGTGGTCAGATGAGACCAAAGTGGAGCTCTTTGCCATCAACTCAACTCGCAGTGTTTGGAGGAGGAGGAATGCTGCCTATGACCCCAAGAACACCATCCCCACCGTCAAACATGGAGGTGTAAACATTATGCTTTGGGGGTGGACAGGACAACTTCACCGCATCAAAGGGACGATGGATGGGGCCATGTACCGTCAAATCCCTCAGCCAGGGCATTGAAAATGGGTCGTGGATGGGTATTCCAGCATGACAATGACCCAAAACACACGGCCAAGGCAACAAAGGAGTGGCTCAAGAAGAAGCACATTAAGGTCCTGGAGTGGCCTAGCCAGTCTCCAGACCTTAATCCCATAGACAATCTGTGGAGGGAGCTGAAGGTTCGGAATTGCCAAACGTCAGGCTCGAATCCTTAATGACTTGGAGAAAATCTGCAAAGAGGAGTGGGACAAAATCCCTCCTGAGATGTGTGCAAACCTGGTGGCCAACTACAAGAAACGTCTGACCTCTCTGATTACCAACAAGGGTTTTGCCACCAAGTACTAAGTCATGTTTTGCAGAGGGGTCAAAAACGTATTTCCCTCTTTCAAATGCAAATCAATTTATAACATTTTTGATTAGCATTTTTCTGGATTTTTTTGTTGTTATTCTGTCTCTCACTGTTCAAATAAACCTACCATTAAAATTATAGACTGATCATGTCTTTGTCAGTGGGCAAACGTACAAAATCAGCAGGTCATCAAATACTTTTTTCCCTCACTGTAAGTATTTCATCACCTACCAACCAGTAAGAATTCTGGCTCTCACAGACCTGTTAGTTTTTCTTTAACAATCCCTCCTGTTCTCCACTCATTACCTGTATTAACTGCACCTGTTTGAACTCGTTACCTGTATAAAAGACACCTGTCCACACACTCAATCAAACAGACTCCAACCTCTCCACAATGGCCAAGACCAGAGAGCTGTGTAAGGACATCAGGGATACAATTCTAGACCTGCACATGGCTGGGATGGGCTACAGGACAATAGGCAAGCAGCTTGGTGAGAAGGCAACAACTGTTGGCGCAATTATTAGAAAATGGAAGAAGTTCAAGATGACGGTCAATCACCCTCGGTCTGGGGCTCCATGCAAGATCTCACCACGTGGGGCATCAATTATCATGAGGAAGGTGAGGGATCAGCCCAGAACTACACGGCAGGACCTGGTCAATGACCTGAAGAGAGCTGGGACCACAGTCTCAAAGAAAACCATTAGTAACACACTACGCCGTCATGGATTAAAATCCTGCAGCGCACGCAAGGTCCCCCTGCTGAAGCCAGCGCATGTCCAGGCCCGTCTGAAGTTTGCCAATGACCATCTGGATGATCCAGAGGAGGAATGGGAGAATGTCATGTGGTCTGATCATACAAAAATAGAGCTTTTGATCTAAACTCCACTCGCCGTGTTTGGAGGAAGAAGAAGGATGAGTACAACCCCAAGAGCACCATCCCAACCGTGAATAATGGAGGTGGAAACATCATTCTTTGGGGATGCTTTTCTGCAAAGGGGACAGGACGACTGCACCATATTGAGGGGAGGATGGATGGGGCCATGTATCGCGAGATCTTGGCCAACAACCTCCTTCCCTCAGTAAGAGCATTGAAGATGGGTCGTGGCTGGGTCTGCCAGCATGACAACGACCTGAAACACACAGCCAGGGCAACTAAGGAGTGGCTCTGTAAGAAGCATCTCAAGGTCCTGGAGTGGCCTAGCCAGTTTCCAGACCTGAACCCAATAGAAAATCTTTGGAGGGAGCTGAAAGTCCTTATTGCCCAGCGACAGCCCCGAAACCTGAAGGATCTGGAGAAGGTCTGAATGGAGGAGTGGGCCAAAATACCTGCTGCAGTGTGTGCAAACCTGGTCAAGACCTACAGGAAACGTATGATCTCTGTAATTGCAAACAAAGGTTTCTGTACCAAATATTAAGTTCTGCTTTTCTGATGTATCAAATACTTATGTCATGCAATAAAATGCTAATTAATTACTTAAAAATCATACAACGTGATTTTCTGGATTTTTGTTTTAGATTCCGTCTCTCACAGTTGAAGTGTACCTATGATAAAAATTACAGACCTATACATGCTTTGTAAGTAGGAAAACCTGCAAAATCGGTAGTGTATCAAATACTTGTTCTCCACTGTACATTGAAAATGTTATATAAAAAAAGTATTGTTGTTTACACTGGATGAATGTTTTCCTCTCTCAGGGGAGGTGTACTACGCCTCCATGCTGGAGGAAATGGAGATCGAGGGGCGGGATTTTGAGGCTGACTCATGGAGCATGGCGGTGGACTCGGGCTACCTGCAGACGCATCGCAAAGACATCATCAAGAGACAGGACGTCATCTATGGTGAGAGCGGTGACATGCACTGTACGTCTTGACCCTCTTTCTGTTTGTGGTGAAAAGGTCACGGGCTGGGCGATGAAAAAGTGGCAACTGCAGGGGCTGCTTGTTTCAGATCATGGCCAACATCCACTGCTATTGTGCTGTTGAGAAAGGCACTTAACCTTGCAGCTGACCCTGTGCCTCCTCCCAAATGTGCATGTGTGGTCTATGTGTTTCTGGCAGGTGATGAACAGAGCAAAATATTAATTTCCTTCGCCAGATGGACAATCAAAGTTTTATTATATTTTATCCGTATGTTACATGATTTACTCTTTCTTTGCATTTTTTGTCTTCCTCAGAACTGATCCAGACAGAGCTGCACCACGTGCGGACGCTTCGCATCATGGAGCGGGTGTTCCGCCAGGGCATGTTGGAGGAGGTGCAGCTGGAGCCAGGCGTGGTGCATGCCATCTTCCCCTGCCTGGACCGCCTCACCGGCATCCATGCCCGCTTCCTGGTACAGCTGCTCAACCGGCGCAACCACAGCCTGCAGCCTGGCAGCACCTACAACTTCACTATCCACCAGCTGGGAGATGTGCTGCTGGAACAGGTAGGTAGACAGACATGGACATTATACCAACTGCCTTATGTGATGTATACATTTACCATCCTAATTCATTCTTTGCAAGACCTGAGAAACTATCTGGCCTTGATGGTCATACAGTTGAAGTCGGAAGTTTACATACACCTTAGCCAAATACATTTAAACTCAGTTTTTCACAATTCCTGACATTTAATCCTAGTAAAAAATCCCTGTCTTAGGTCAGTTAGGATCACCACTTTATTTTAAGAATATGAAATGTCAGAATAATAGTAGAGAGAATGATTTATTTCAGCTTTTATTTCTTTCATCACATTCCCAGTGGGTCAGAAGTTTACATACACTCAATTAGTATTTGGTAGCATTGCCTTTAAATTGTTTAACTTGGGTCAAACGTTTCGGGTAGCCTTCCACAAGCTTCCCACAATAAGTTTGGTGCATTTTGGCCCATTCCTCCTGACAGAGCTGGTGTAATTGAGTCAGGTTTGTAGGCCTCCTTGCTCGCACACGCTTTTTCAGTTCTGCCCACAAATGTTCTATCGGATTGAGGTCAGGGCTTTGTGATGGCCACTTTGTTGTCCTTAAGCCATTTTGCCACAACTTTAGAAGTATGCTTGGGGTCATTGTCCATTTGGAAGACCCATTTGCGACCAAGCTTTAACTTCCTGACTGATGTCTTGAGATGTTGCTTCAATATATCCACATAATTTTCCTTCCTCATGATGCCATCTATTTTGTGAAGTGCACCAGTCCCTCCTGCAGCAAAGCACCCCCACAGCATGATGCTGCCACCCCTGTGCTTCACGGTTGGGATGGTGTTCTTCGGCTTGCAAGAACCCCCTTTTTCCTCTAAACATAATGATGGTCATTATGGCCAAACAGTTCTATTTTTGTTTAATCAGACCAGAGGACATTTCTCCAAAAAGTACAATCTTAGTCCCCATGTGCAGTTGCAAACCGTAGTCTGGCTTTTTTATGGCGGTTTTGGAGCAGTGGCTTCTTCCTTGCTGAGCGGCCTTTCAGGTTATGTCGATATAGGACTAGTTTTACTCTGGACATAGATAATTTTGTACCTGTTTCCTCCAGCATCTTCACAAGGTCCTTTGCTGTTGTTCTGGGATTGATTTGCACTTTTCGCACCATAGTACGTTCATCTCTAGCAGACAGAACGCGTCTCCTTCCTGAGCGGTATGATGGCTGCGTGGTCCCATGGTGTTTATACTTGCGTACTATTGTTTGTACAGATGAACGTGGTACCTTCAGGCGTTTGGAAATTGCTCCCAAGGATGAACCAGACTTGTGGAGGTCTACCATTTCTTTCTGAAGTCTTGGCTGATTTCTTTTGATTTTCCCATGATGTCAAGCAAAGAGGCACTGTGTTTGAAGGTAGGCCTTGAAATACATCCACAGGTACACCTCCAATTGACTCAAATGATGTCAATTAGCCTATCAGAAGCTTCTAAAGCCATGACATCATTTTCTGGAATTTTCCAAGCTGTTTAAAGGCACAGTCAACTTAGTGTATGTAAACTTCTGACCCATTGGAATTGTGATACAGTGAATTATAAGTGAAATAATCAGTCTGTAAACAATTGTTGGAAAAATTGCTTGTGTCATTGTCACGATCGTTGAGAGACGGGTCAGACCAAGGTGCAGCGTGGTATGCATACATATTTATTAATAAGAATAAACACTTGACAAAATAACAAAAACAACGAAAATGTGAAGTCATATGGGCTATACACACAACAAGCCGAACACAAACAAGATCCCACAACTAAGGTAGGCAACCAGGCTACCTAAGTATGATCCCCAATCAGAGACAACGAGCGACAGCTGCCTCTGATTGGGAATCACACCCGGCCAAACATAGAAATACAAATACTAGAATCCAACATAGAAATACAATAACATAGATCTCAAACTGAACTCACACCCTGACCCAACCAACAAGAGTTATCTAGGTCAGGGTGTGACAGTCATGCACAAAGTAGATGTCCTAACCGACTTGCCAAAACTATAGTTTGTTAACAAGAAATTTGTGGAGTGGTTGAAAAAAACGAGTTTTAATGACTCCAAACTAAGTGTATGTAAACTTCCGACTTCAACTGTATGTAATCTTAACTACACTGTACAGCCAGAGGAGTATGGGCCTCCCCTGGTTCCTCTTGAGGTTTCTTCCTTCTAGGGAGTTGATCCTAGCCACTCTGCTTCTGATTGGTCTTTGGGGTCTAGGCCGGGGTATTTTAAATAGATTTGATTTGATTGACGGATTGATTGTTTCTCTCAGTTCTCGGGCCAGTGTGCTGACGAGATGAGGAAGACCTACGCTGAGTTCTGCAGCCGCCACCTGAAGGCTGTCAAGCTGTACAAGGAGCTGCTGGCCAGAGACAAGAGGTTCCAGTACTTCATACGGGTAAGACAGAGGGGTAGAGAGGGAAAACAAGAGAGATAGAATGAGTGATGAGACTTAATGCTATTTTTTACTTCTAAAACTATGCTTTTTGGAATGCTTTGGCAGTATTCACAGAATGTATTTCATGTCAATAAAAAACCTTGAATTGATATTGAGAGATGGGGGGGGGGGGGGGACAGAGGGAGAGCTTTTGTGTTTTCCTTATTTTTGAATAAACCCACATTTTTGTCATCGCTACTAAGGTCTTACTTGCGATGATCATGCTATTTGGTAGTTTCACATTCCTTAGTAGAGAGAGAGAGAGTGAGAAAGCGGGCACAGAGAAAGGAAAATAGGCCAATGGGAAGTGTGCGTACGCGTGTGTTTACTGGTAATGAGCGTTCTGAGCGATAACTGTGAGGAGTTGGTGTTGCATTACCATTTACTCTGCTAACCTTGCCTTTTGTTACTGGCACCTTGCCAATGAATCATTTATACTCTACAATATCATGTGTTATTTTTACTTTTTCTATTGTAAATGGTATGTTTTATCTTTTGTTTAGATTTAAAGCTCTTCAAGCTAGTTGTGAAGTTGAAGTCTCCAGAATTTCAGTTTAAAAAATGTTTTGTTCTTGATTGAATTACAAAACATTAATATTTGTTTTTTTCCAACCATCCCTCTGTGTTTGCCGCTTTTCCTGTCTCTCCTCACCTCTTTTTTTTCTTGTTCATATTAATTTCTTCCCTTCTCTTTTTCCTGTTCTTGCACTCTTATAAACTCTCTTTCACTCTCTTATCTCCCCTCTCCTTTCCCTCTCGCACGCTTTCCTGCTCTCTTTCACACTAAGTCGTTATTTATCTTTCTTACTTTCTCTCTCTCTCCCTTCTGTCTCGTTCACCTTTCATCTCACTTTCACCCTATCTTCCTCGCTCTCTGTTCAGCGGGTGTGTCGGGGTCACCTGTTGCGTCGCCATGGCATCCAGGAGTGCATCCTGTTGGTCACTCAGCGCATCACCAAGTACCCCGTCCTCATCCAGCGTATCCTTGACAACACCAAGGGTGAGGAAAAACAGCCCATTGATACAAAACCAGGGGCGAGGGTGATATATAAAAGTCATGCTCACTTTAGACTGAAACATATTGTTGGGGGCAGCAAACAGTTACATGGGGTGTAAAAACATGTAGCCGAACTATGCCAGCTTTTTATATAATGAGACGAGGTCCTCAGAACTAACTAAAAACACAGGGTCTTTAAAGTCAATGATGGAGCATGGGAAAAAACAGCACTACCAATAATATGCCAAACCACCTTACAGTGGGGAAAAAAAGTATTTAGTCAGCCACCAATTGTGCAAGTTCTCCCACTTAAAAAGATGAGAGAGGCCTGTAATTTTCATCATAGGTACACGTCAACTATGACAGACAAATTGAGGAAAAAAAATCCAGAAAATCACATTGTAGGATTTTTAATGAATTTATTTGCAAATTATGGTGGAAAATAAGTATATGGTCACCTACAAACAAGCAAGATTTCTGGCTCTCACAGACTTGTAACTTCTTCTTTAAGAGGCTCCTCTGTCCTCCACTCGTTACCTGTATTAACGGCACCTGTTTGAACTTGTTATCAGTATAAAAGACACCTGTCCACAACCTCAAACGGTCACACTCCAAACTCCACTATGGCCAAGACCAAAGAGCTGTCAAAAGACACCAGAAACAAAATTGTAGACCTGCACCAGGCTGGGAAGACTGAATCTGCAATAGGTAAGCAGCTTGGTTTGAAGAAATCAACTGTGGGAGCAATTATTAGGAAATGGAAGACATACAAGACCACTGATAATCTCCCTCGATCTGGGGCTCCACGCAAGATCTCACCCTGTGGGGTCAAAATGATCACAAGAACGGTGAGCAAAAATCCCAGAACCACACGCGGGGACCTAGTGAATGACCTGCAGAGAGCTGGGACCAAAGTAACAAAGCCTACCATCAGTAACACACTACACCGCCAGGGACTCAAATCCTGCAGTGCCAGACGTGTCCCCCTGCTTAAGCCAGTATATGTCCAGGCCCTTCTGAAGTTTGCTAGAGTGCATTTGGATGACGCAGAAGAGGATTGGGAGAATGTCAAATGGTCAGATGAAACCAAAATAGAACTTTTTGGTAAAAACTCAACTCGTCGTGTTTGGAGGACAAAGAATGCTGAGTTGCATCCAAAGAACACCATACCTACTGTGAAGCATGGGGGTGGAAACATCATGCTTTGGGGCTGTTTTTCTGCAAAGGGACCAGGACGACTGATCCGTGTAAAGGAAAGAATGAATGGGGCCATGTATCGTGAGATTTTGAGTGAAAACCTCCTTCCATCAGCAAGGGCATTGAAGATGAAACGTGGCTGGGTCTTTCAGCATGACAATGATCCCAAACACACCGCCCGGGCAACAAAGGAGTGGCTTCGTAAGAAGCATTTCAAGGTCCTGGAGTGGCCTAGCCAGTCTCCAGATCTCAACCCCATAGAAAATCTTTGGAGGGAGTTGAAAGTCTGTGTTGCCTAGCGACAGCCCCAAAACATCACTGCTCTAGAGGAGATCTGCATGGAGGAATGGGCCAAAATACCAGCAACAGTATGTGAAAACCTTGTGAAGACTTACAGAAAACGTTTGACCTGTGTCATTGCCAACAAAGGGTATATAACAAAGTATTGAGAAACTTTTGTTATTGACCAAATACTTATTTTCCACCATAATTTGCAAATAAATTCATAAAAAATCCTACAATGTGATTTTCTGGTTGTTTTTTTTCTCATTTTGTCTGTCATAGTTGACGTGTACCTATGATGAAAATTACAGACCTCTCTCATCTTTTTAAGTGGGAGAACTTGCACAATTGGTGGCTGACTAAATACTTATTTTCCCCACTGTATATCCTCTCTCTCTCTCTCTCTCTTTCTCTCTCTACCAGACAATGAAGAGGAGGCCTCCTGTCTGACCCAGTCTCTTACTCAGATCAGGGAGCTACTCAGCTCAGTGGACCAGCAGGTGCTTTATTCATCCATTTATACTTTTATTTACTCAGGTTATCACTGAGATCAATTCTGACGTGCACTAACACCTGTTATTCAGATTGACTCCATTTTGACTTCCCACACTTTATCTATAAACCCATCCTTTTACTCTGAGAAAGTGGCAATTACAATGTATTGCACACTAACACTATTGTGAACCTGGGTTCTGTTCATTAGGGCATGGAAATGGATGATTCTCAGTCCGTTTGCTTCCATTCAGTGCATAATGAACATGACCCTGCTGTCCAGGTGATGGAGCTGGAGCGGACCCAGCGGCTTCAGGAGATCCGGGCCAGGCTGGACCCACGGGCCGAGGCCAAGGTGAGGGACGGGGGCCTGTTCAGGGGAGGAGAGCTGCTCCGCAGGAGACTCTTCCATGAGGGAACGCTGCTCTGGAAGACCCCTGGGTCCAGGTTCAAAGGTGAGTGTGTGTCAGATGAAGCTGAGGACAGGCACTTTGTAATGGCTTGAATGGAACAGTATCAAACACATGGAAACCAGCCTCCACTAGCTCAATTTGTCAAAGAAGTTTGTACAGTGCCTTCAGAAAGTATTCATAGCCCTTGACTACACAGAATACCCCATAATGACAAAGTGAAAACATGTTTTTAGAAAAATGTTCTAATGTATTGAAAATGAAATACAGAAATATCTCACTTACATAAGTATTCACACCCCTGAGTCAATACATGTTAGAAGCACCTTTGGCAGCGATTACAGCTGTGAGTCTTTCTGGGTAAGTCTCTAAGATCTTTGCACACCTGGATTGTGCAACATTTGCCCATTTATTCTTTTCAAAATTCTTCAAGCTCTGTCAAATTGGTTGTTGATCATTGTTAGACAACCATTTTCAGGTCTTGCCATAGATTTTCAATTAGATTTAAGTCAAAACTGTAACTCAGCCATTCAGGAATATTCACTGTCTTTTTGGTAAGTAACTCCAGTGAATATTTGGCCTTCTGTTTTAGGTTATTGCCCTGCTTAACCCTCCCGTTGTCCTAGGGTCAAAATGACCCGCCACTGTGTTGAACCAACTTTATTTAATTTTTACATTTTTTGGATCATTTGTGAGAAGGAGGCAGTGATACTTTCTTTAAAGTCTCACTGCCTCCTTCTCACAAATGATCCCAAAAATATAAAAATTAAATAAAGTTGGTTCAACACAGTGGCGGGTCATTTTGACCCTAGGACAACGGGAGGGTTAAAGGTAAATTCATCTCTCAGTGTCTGGTGGAAAGCAGACTGAACCAAGTTTTCCTCTATGATTTTGCCTGTGCTTAGCTCCATTGTTTCATTTTTATACTGAAAAACTCCCCAGTCCTTAATGATTACAAGCATACCCATAACATGATGCAGCCACCACTATGCTTGAAAATACGGAGAGTGGTACTCAGTAATGTGTTGTATTGGATTTGCCCCAAACATAACACTTTGTATTCAGGACAAAAGTTAATTGCTTTGCCACATTTTTTGCAGTTTTACTTTAGTGCCTTGTTGCAAACAGGATGCATGTTTTGGAATACTTTTATTCTGTACAGGCTTCCTTCTTTTCACTCTGTCAATTAGATTAGTATTGTGGAGTAACTACAATGTTGTTGATCCATCTTCAGTTTTTTCCTATTACAGCCAATAAACTCTAACTGTTTTAAAGTCACCATTGGCCTCATAGTGAAAACACCATCCAAAGTCTAATTTAAAATGTCAAAGGGATATTCAATGTCTGCTTTTTTTATTTTTACCCATCTACCAATAGTTGACCTTCTTTGCGAGGCATTGGAAAACATTATTATTGCACACAGAGTGAGTCCATGCAACTTATCATGTGATTTGTTAAGCAAATGTTTACTCCTGAACTTATTTAGACTTGCCAAAACAAGGGGGTTGAATACTTATTGACTCAAGACATTTAGATTTTCATTTTTTATTATTTGGTAACATTTTTGAAAAACATAATTCCACTTTGACATAATGGGGTATTTATTGTGTGTAGGCCAGTGACAACAAAACCCTCAATTTAATCCATTTTAAATTCAAGCTGTAACATAACAAAATGTGGAAAAAGTCAAGGGGTGTGAATACTTTCTGAAGGCACTGTAGGTGATGGAACTATCCCCAAAACATGTTGCTTACCCATGTTTTAAAGGAGGTTTTTATTGTGCGTGTGTACGTTTGTGTGTGTGTGTGTGTGTGTGTGTGTGTTTAGATGTGCAGGTCCTGCTGATGACAGACATCCTAGTGTTCTTACAGGAAAAAGACCAGAGGTTCATCTTCCCTTGTCTAGTAAGCACACACACACTCTCTAACATTCACACTCACACACACACACACACACACACTGACAAATACATCAAACAAAAAACACTTGAATATAGAGAAACTTGTTTCGTCACAATTGAATATACTGTATGGATAGGTCAGAGAATATAGCAACTCCCCTTCTTTCTCCCCTCTCTCCCTCTCTCCCTCTTTCTCATCGCAGGACAAGTCTCCGGTCCTCTCCCTGCAGAACCTCATGATTAGGGAGATAGCTAATCAGGAGCGAGGGCTCTTCCTCATCAGTGACTCCTCCCCTCCGGAGATGTACGAAGTCCATGCTGCCTCGAAAGATGACAAGAACACCTGGATACGCCTCATACAACACACTGTCAGCAGGTATATACACACACACACACACACACACACACACAGACACACACACACAGACACAAACCGCTCATATACTCACAATCTTCTCTGTCTCGGCAGTTGTCCTTCCAGGGAAGAGTTCCCACTCATAGAGACTGAAGACAAGGCCCTTCTGAGACGACTGAAAGGTCAGCAATGAACACACACACACTCATACAGATCTCTATGTAACGTAGGGATGGCAAGATTGCACCGACAGACACGGCGACCCTATTTCTTACTTTATTTGCTCAGGACGTTTATGATCATTTCCTATAACTGACAAGAACTTCTGGACATTAGATCGCCTATCACTCACCACAAATTCAACTACCCAGACCTGAACCCTTTGTTTTATATTCTGGATAATTTCTTGATTTCTTGTTTTGATTTTTGATTATTTGTATTGTATTCTACTGCACTGTTGGAACTTGTAAAATAAGCATTTTGCTGTACCTGCCATAACACCTGCAAATCTGTGTACGCGGCCAATAAACTTTGATTAGATTTTATGTAGATATAAACACACTTGTTTGCACATAGGAACTCTGTTTCACTTCTTCTCTACACTATCCTCTGTCTATCTCTGTCTTCCTTTCTACCTCTCTCCATCGTTCTTTCTCTATCAATCCCTATCAATACCTTCTCACTCTGTGTGTAGGAGGACAAGTGTGAAGCCTGCCTCCTACTCAGGCCCATTGGAGGAGCTCATCAAACTCTATATATCCATCTCAGCTTTTCTCTCTCTCATTTTCACTCTCTCTTGGACTCTCCCATCTTTCTTGCTCACTTTTACCTTCTAGTCCTGCACCTCTTCTTTTGTTTTTCTCTCCCTTTGTCTCCCCCTCTCTCTCTCGCTCTTCTTCCCTTTCTCGATATCTCACCATCTCTTATAGCCTACATCCAACTGAACAATGTGTGAATATGATTGCCCCCCACTGTTAAGTCAAGAGGTCTTTAGGAAGATCATCAAGTCAGTCTTTCCCTCTCTCCCCCTCCTCTTTCCCTACCCCCCTCCATCCCCCCATCCCTTCCTATCTTTCTCTTTCCACTTTCATCTCTCCTTCCAGCCGACATCCAGCAGAAGGACCGGGAGGTGCTGGAGCTGCTCCAGGAGCGGGTCACCTTGTTCTTGGACCTGGCTGAGGTGACGGGGGGCCAGGAGGTCATGCTGCCGGGGGGCCCCAACTCCCGGAACCTGTTCCGGGCCGACACGCCCCAAGCGCCGCTCGGCGAGAGATTGCTCACTGACGCCATCACAGAGGGTGAGGGGTTGGTGGAGGGAGTGGGGAGAGTGGGGGGGTGGGAGCAGAGTGAGGGAGAGTAGGGCGATAGAGAGGTAGGGCAAGGGAGAGCAAGAGAGGTGGAGAGCAAGAGAGTTGTTAAAGGACCAATGCAGCCGTTTTTGATCTCAATATCAAATCATTTCTGGGGAACAATTTATTACCTAACAGTTTTCCATAGAAATGGTCAGAAAGCAGCAAAAATAGCTTTTTAGCAAAAAACTAATTCTCAAGCAAGAGTTTTGCTAGAACTGTCTGGGAGTGGTCTGCAGAGGGACCTAATTGGAGGGTCCTAATGGGAAGCATACGTACCCTGAAGACTAGCTGTTGGCAGAGAGGTTTGGAACTCTCTTTGTTATTGATCACCAGGCAAGCCATAACTCCACCCATGCAAAACCTGATGTAAATTGTATTTTCAACTAGCAACTATCAGGAAATAACACTGATCAAATTTGTTCACACTTTTACAGTCTTAGATTCATCAGCTGTTGTACAATATGATACAAAACACAGGAAAAACAGAATTTTGAGTGCACTGGGCCTTTAAGCAGATTTAGAGAGGGTTAGACTGGAAGAGAGAGGAGAAAGAGGAAGACGGAGAGGGTGATAAGAGGGAGAGGGATATAGGGAGATGTTGAAACAGAGGAGAGCAAGACTAGAGAGGAAAAGAAGCAGATGAAGAAGCACAAATAGCCTGTTTAAATGCAGAAACGCAACTGCTACTGTGCTTCCACTTAACTGACTGCAACGATACTTCAAAGTTGAATTACGGCAGCTATGAAAGGCCTTGGCATGTTCTCAGTTGTACTTGGCAATGCACTTAGTCTAAGCATCAACTGTCGCTATTCCTTTACTCACTATTCAACGGATGCATGTGCAATGTGTTGGCACAAAATGGCTGCCAGGTGGCTGCTCAGTTGCCAAACATGCCATACATTCCAGATGACTGACTTCAAAGTTTCCTCCATAGAAGTCCATTGGTTGGCTTACATTATGGTTTTACTTGACTTGGAACAGTCAAACAGACATTTGAATTGTGTACTGTCTGTACAATTATAGATTAGATGAATTGTCCTCTGATAAGGAACTTATTTTTCAAAGCCTTCCAGCTACATTTACATTTACACAAACAGCAAACTATCAACTCATCATCACCCAGACATTGATTGACATGTACAGTTGTGCAGTTCCCTCCCTACATACAGTGAAGATGGCAATGTCTTCAGTGTGGATATCAGGTTTATGAATATTCAATGGTCAATTTGAAGTGGCTGTCAACCCCTAGGCTAATGTTGCTCTCATGGAATGTCATTCCTTGAGCACTATATCATAGAAAGTGCTATATGCATGTGAAATGTCATGGGGTGCTTTCCTACATTGAGTCTGGCTTTGATAGAGTACATTTGTTTTTCTTGCCTGTCCATATGGAAAATAATCATACAAATCAAATAAGAATGTTTGTATGGCAGAAGAAGATTATTTCTACAAAAATATTATAAGTAATCTAATAAGTATCTGGTAAGATTTAATGTTTTACCTTATATGTCAGTGGTGTATGTGCTAACTTACAGTACTTTCAGAAAGTATTCACACCACTTGACTTTTTCAAAATGTGTTGTGTTACAGTTTGAATAAAAAATGGATTAAATATAGATTTTTTTTGTCACTGGCCTACACACAATACCCCATAATGTCAAAGTGGAATTATGTTTTTCGAAATGTTTACTAATGAAAAACGTCTTGAGTCAATTCAACCCCTTTGTTATGGCAAGCCTAAATCAGTTCAGGAGTACCAATGTGCTTAGCAAGTCACATAATAAGTTCCATGGCTCACTGTGTGCAATAATAGTGTTTAACATGATTTTTTTATGACTACCTCATCTCTGTACCCCACACAGTTATCTGTAAGGTCCCTCAGTCGAGCAGTGAATTTCAAACACAGAATCAACCATAAAGACCAGGGAGTTTTTCCAATGCCTCGCAAAGAAGGGCACCTATTGGTAGATGGGTAAAAATAAAAAAAGCAGACATTGAATATCCCATTGAGCATGGTGAAGTTATTAATTACACTTTGGATGGTGTATCAATACACCCAGTCACTACAAAGATAACAGGCGTCCTTCCTAACTCAGTTGCTGTAGAGGAAGGAAACCGCTCATGGATTTCAACATGAGACCAATGGTGACTTTAAAACAGTTACAGAGTTTAATGGCTGTGATAGGAGAAAACTGAGGATGGATCAACAATGTTGTAGATACTCCACAACACTAACCTAATTGACAGAGTGAGAAGAAGGAAGCCTATACAGAATAAAAATATTCCAAAACATGCATCATGTTTGCAACAAGGCACTAGAGTAATACTGCAGAAAATGTGGCAAAGCAATTAACTTTTTGTCCTGAATACAAAGTGTTATGTTTGGGGCAAATCCAATACAACACATTGCTGAGTACCACTCTCCATATTTTCACGAATAGTAGTGGCTGCATCATGTTATGGGTATGCATGTAATCGTAAAGGACTGGGGGTTTTTCAGGATAAAAAAGAAACGGAATGGCGCTAAGCACAGGCAAAATCCTAGAGGGAAAACCTGGTTCAGTCTGCTTTCCACCAGACACTGGGAAATGAATTCACCTGTCAGCAGGACAATAACCTAAAACACAAGGCCAAATATACACTGTTGCTTACCAAGAAGACAGTGAATGTTTCCGAGTGGCCGAGTTACAGTTTTGGTAAGACCTAAAAACGGTTGTCTAGCAATGATCAACAACTGATTTGACAGAGCTTGAATAGTTTTTTTAAGAATAAGGGGCAATTGTTGCACAATCCAGGTGTGGAAAGCTTTTAGAAACTTACCCAGAAAGACTCACAGCTGTAATCACTGCCAAAGCTGCTTCTACAAAGTATTGACTCAGGGGTGTGAATACCTACGTAAATTTGATATTTCTGTATTTCATTTTCAATACATTTGCAAAATTTCTAAAAACATGTCTTAACTTTGCAATTATGGGGTATTGTGTATAGATGGGTGAGAAAAAAATCAATTGAATCCATTTTGAATTCAGGCTGTAACACAACAAAATGTTGAATAAGATAAGGGGTATGAATACTTTCTGAAGCCTTATGTCAGTGGTTCTCAAACCCCCAGCATGATGGTGGTCATTTTCCCACATAAATATGGTATAACATATTTGAGACAAAATATATTAACTATACAGTATGAGTCATCAATTCATGTTATAAGAAAAGTGTATGTCTGACAATGTAACCTCTACAAAATAAATGCTTTCCTTATGGGTTTCACATTGTTTCTATAAGTCAACATATAAAAAAACATGACAATTACTATCAGAAAAATACAATATTTGTAGATACATTGTCATTTTCAGGTATGCGTTTCCATGGTTAAAAAAACAATAGGTTGGGCAGAACCTCCTACTGGACAGTTGATTTATCTACAGCTATCCTTTTGGTCTCCAATTCAGGAGTTTATCCAAGCCCAGCCCTGCTTAGCTTAGATATTTGTCACTGACTACTACCAATGTGCTATTGAGAGGATGATTGTTGAGATATAAATATATTACCAGATACTTATTAGATTACTTATTAGATTTTTGTACAAATAATCCTCTTCTGCCATACAAGATTCTTATTTAAATGTTCATTAAATAAAATTGTATTAATCTTGTTTGTGTATTTGCTGCCATATGTATTACTTACAAGTCCAAGTAGAACATATACGAATTTAGTTCGATTCTTCTATATCTTTTCCTTTTGGGCGATGCCCCGGGTGGGCGGAGAGTTCACTTTAGGACCAATGGAATGGTCTACAATGTAAAAACCTGACCTACCCTGTGTCACCGGTGAGTTGAAATGTATGCACCATACATTTTGTTAAGGCACTGATTTTGTGTTGTCTGTCTTTGTGTCTCCCAGTGGATAGGCTGAGTGAGCTACTGCTGGGCTCCACCTTTGAAATGCCTCTGCCCTGCAGTTTCAACGGTCACCCGAACCACACGGGGGCGCTAGTGATCAGTGAGTGACTCCTTTGTGCCATTGATTGACAAGTTGTATAGTAGTCTAGTCTCCATAGCACTGTGAGCAATGACCATTGAGTGACTGTTGTTTGTTTGTAGACGGTCAGGAGGTGGTTGTCAATGGAACAGACGGGTCACCAGCAGCAAAGGTGAGGTCTTAATAATAATAGTAATAGCATGGTCATTTACTGTGGTCGACCTGGCTTAGAACCAAGGTCTCCCATGCGCCACAAAGCCAAGCTAAAGCCATGCGCTGAACTAAAGCCAAGTCCTTAGCTCGGGAAGCTAACAGAAGTCTTCAGGACCCAGGGAAGATTACTCATTGTGAGCATGGTTCACGTGTGGGAATCAAATCAAGGTGTGGACTAGCAGTGAAATGCTTACTTACAGTGAGGGAAAAAAGTATTTGATCCCCTGCTGATTTTGTACATTTGCCCACTGACAAAGACATGATCAGTCTATAATTTTAATGGTAGGTTTATTTGAACAGTGAGAGATAGAATAACAACAAAAAAATCCAGAAAAACGCATGTCAAAAATGTTATATATTGATTTGCATTTTAATGAGGGAAATAAATATTTGACCCCTCTGCAAAACATGACTTAGTACTTGGTGGCAAAACCCTTGTTGGCAATCACAGAGGTCAGACGTTTCTTGTAGTTGGCCACCAGGTTCGCACACATCTCAGGAGGGATTTTGTCCCACTCCTCTTTGCAGATCTTCTCCAAGTCATTAAGGTTTCGAGCCTGACGTTTGGCAACTCAAACCTTCAGCTCCCTCCACAGATTTTCTATGTGATTAAGGTCTGGAGACTGGCTAGGCCACTCCAGGACCTTAATGTGCTTCTTCTTGAGCCACTCCTTTGTTGCCTTGGCCGTGTGTTTTGGGTCATTGTCATGCTGGAATACCCATCCACGACCCATTTTCAATGCCCTGGCTGGGGGAAGGAGGTTCTCACCAAGATTTGACGGTACCTGGCGCCGTCCATCGTCCCTTTGATGCGGTGAAGTTGTCCTGTCCCCTTAGCAGAAAAACACCCCCAAAGCATAATGTTTCCACCTCCATGTTTGACGGTGGGGATGGTGTTCTTGGGGTCATAGGCAGCATTCCTCCTCCTCCAAACACGGCGAGTTGAGTTGATGCCAAAGAGCTCGATTTTGGTCTCATCTGACCACAACACTTTCACCCAGTTCTCTTCTGAATCATTCAGATGTGTGTGGACCATGAGGATTCCTTAGTGACGTGGACACCGAGAAAGTTGAAGCTCTCAACCTGCTCCACTACAGCTCCGTCGATGTGGATGGGGGAGTGCTTGCCCCTCTGTTTTCTGTAGTCCACGATCAGCTCATTTGTCTTGCTGACATTGAGGGAGAGGTTGTTGTCCTGGAAACACACTGCCAGGTGATCAGGCGTACAACCATCGTGTCGTCGGCAAACTTAATGATGGTGTTGAGGTCGTGTGCGGCCACGCAATCATGGGTGAAGGTGAACAGGGAGTACAGGAGGGGACTAAGCACGCACCCCTGCGAGGCCCCCGTGTTCAGGGTCACCGTGGCGGATGTGTTGTTGCCTACCCTCACCACCTGGGGATACAGTTGTCCAGGATACAGTTGCAGAGGGAGGTGTTTAATCCCAGGGTCCTGGGATGGTGGTCTCATGCATGGTTCGGGTTGCTAGCTTCAAAGCGAGCATAGAAGGTATTTAGCTCATCTGGTAGGCTCGCGTCACTGGACAGCGCACGGCTGGGTTTCCAATTGTAATCCGTGATAGTTTGCAGGCCCTGATTTGTCATATGAGTGGCACCACAGAGATAAATCATTCCTGCTATGAAGGTTAATTGTGCCAATAACATTGCAGACTGAAGTTCATGGTTAGCTGGCCATTTTACAATGTCATGTCATCATCCAGCTTCTTTTCATCTAAGATTGATTTATGTCTGGTGGCAACAGCCCCAGGTCTGTCATAAGACAATATGGGTGTAGACAACATCCCTGCCAACATACTGGTCAACCCAAATAAACAAATATTGAAGACAGATTAGCAGTTCTAGTCATTTGTAATATAGGCTTATGATAGCTTAAAGCTGGGTCATGTTCATTAGAGCAGTGGTCGACAGGGCGGGCAGGGAGTCAGTCATTGCAGACCTTAGAGAGCTTTTATTTATAACTTGTCAGAAATGTCCAGATCAACTAGTCCATGTCAGCTAATTTTTTTGGGCTAGGTTTTTTAGCATATTGATTTTGTTGTTATGTTTGAGTCACTCATATCACATAAACACAAATAAGACATGGCAAAATGTATAGAATTGCAGGAAATAAACTTTAAACCTGAAAACTGTTATCTCCACTAACAAGAGGGGTGTGAACAGTTTGTGTCATAAACAGTGGTTGTGCCCATAGAAATAGAGGTGGCGTGCGGGGGACCCTTTGACTTAGCAGTGAGAAACCAATTTTGTATTGGTCGCTAGGGTGTCAGTGAAATAAATGTAGCTAGTAATGTTAGTTTTTGGTTCACAATTAGCTTTTATTTTTATTAATATTTATTCAACTAGTAATGGGTATGCAACAATGGGTATGCAGACCAGGTATTCAAAAGGTTTGGTCCGAAGTCTTGGTTGAATGTTTGCAACGCGCAATTCAGTCATCATGCACTGTTTGAATGAACATTTCTAAAGGTTTTCCCAAAAAACCTTTCCAATTAAAGGTTGACTGCAAAGTAGGCCTACCTGGCAGAATGATATCATATGATGATTTGTATCAATTGTGGGCATTTGCAAACTCTGCCATCACATGTAGCCTACACTGTACATTGTACAGTACAAAAACAAAGCTAGCCAAAGCTATGTGTGCAATTGAATGAAAGAGCAACTACACCCAAATTATTATTGTTTTATTGTTCCCAGACCTCAGAAGTGGTCTCCTGATGTGGTTTAAGCATTGTTGTAGACTAGTATTCATATTTTTAAAAAAGTGAGATTTTGAGAATGAAAATCTTTAAAAAACTAGGAAAACTCTGAAATCTGGAAAAATCTAACCGGGAAAACGGGATTTACCAAAATATACAATTTTTTTATAGGGCCCAATAACTGTAGAGTGACTGTTCAAAATCCCTGACAATAACACCCTTTTTGAGATTGCGCAAAGGTTAGATTTCTCCACTCCAAACAATCAATGTAAATCTGATATTGTCAAGTTAAAATGTAATTTTGTGTATGCATGGTAGGTCATTATAGGCTATAGGCTACTTGTTCAGCCTGCAAATTAAATATAACATTTAAATTATGTGCGCATCATCCGCTTTCCCGGGCCAGTATTTTCTTTTGGGCCAGTAGCTTTCAGTTGGCACTGGCCCGGTGTGTCACGGGCAAATTTACCTGAATGTCAAGCCCTGCAATGGCATGCTACTTTAAAAGATGGCTAGTCATTATTAGCCTGGTTCTGTATGGAATGCCGGTACATTATGGAACACAGGTTAGGTCATCATTGGTGCGACCAAATCATGTGCTGGTGCCATCAAATGAAAAAGTTAGTAGCACAAGAGGAAAAAGTTAGTCTAGAGCCCTGGCCCGAGTGAAAAAGTTTGGGAACCACTGCATTAGGGCATTTACAATGGAAAAAAAACATTGTCCATGTAGTCCCCGTTTCAGTCCGATTTCTGTTTGGTGCCTAATGAACATGACCTTATGTTAGAAGTTTCAAGTGAAGGCTTCCGTTATTCATGAGTCTTCCACTCTGAGTTTTTATAGCTTGACAGCTCTGTTTCAAACAGTGCCTTGGAGTATCCATGGCAACATCACATTTTCGAATCACCATTATTTTCTGAAGCCTGTTTGACAACTCTATTCTGAAATGTCCTGATAATTATAGGAATGCTTCACAATGAAACCCTACTGGTTTCCTTAGAGAAATATTGCACAACCGAGCAATTGGGGGAGAAGGGCCTTGGTCAGGGAGGTGACCAAGAACCCGATGGTCACTCTGACAGAGCTCTAGAGTTCCTCTGTGGAGATGGGAGAACCTTCCAGAAGGACAACCATCACTGCAGTACTCCACCAATTAGGCCTTTATGGTAAAGTGGCCAGACGGAAACCAAGTGACATTTACTCCTGATGTACTGACCTGCTGCAACCTCTACAACCACTGTGATTATTATTTGACCCTGCTGGTCATCTATGAACGTTTGAACATCTTGGAGAAAAATCTGCCCTTAATGGCCATGTACTGTTATAATCTCCACCCGGCACAGCCAGAAGGGGACTGGCCACCCCTCAGAGCCTGGTTCCTCTCTAGGTTTCTTCCTAGGTTTCTGCCTTTCTAGGGAGTTTTTCCTAGCCACCGTGCTTCTACATCTGCATTGTTTGCTGTTTGGGGTTTTAGGCTGGTTTTTTTTATAGCACTTTGCGACATCTGCTGATGTAAAAAGAACTTTATAAATACATTTGATTTGAATGCTTATGTAAATAAGGTATTTCTGGGGGGTTTTAAACAGACATTTGCATAAATTTCTAAAAACCTGTTTTTGCTTTGTCATTATGAGGTATTGTGTGTAGATTGCTGAGGAATTGTATTTATTTAATCCATTTTAGAATAAGGCTGTAACGTAATAAAATGTGGAAAAGGCCAAGGGGTCTGTAGTCCCCTGTAGCTCAGTTGGTAGAGCATGGCGCTTGCAACGCCAGTATGAAAAATTTATGCACTCACTAACTGTAAGTCGCTCTGGATAAGAGCGTCTGCTAAATGACTAAAATGTAAATACCTCCCCAAGGCACTGTATTTGCTCTTGATTGCATTGGCATAATATTTCTTGTATGTACTGATGGTGTATGTTTTTCAGGAAGTGTATCAGAGGCTGGTCAACCTTAGTGCCCACCTTCATGCCCTCCAGGTCAGTGGATGTGTCTCTGTACCCGACCTGAGTCGAATACAAATGTCAAATATTTTCTAATACTTGACTGTATTTGAAGTGCTCTTTATTTAGCCGAGTTTGCATTTTCGGGACTATTTCATTGGTTTTAATATGCTGAGAAGCTCAATTATTTGAGAATTTGACCCAGATCTCCTATATATTTACTGTGGACGTTACAGTCCGTGCCATCTATGATGTAGTGTTAAGTTACAGTTATACAGTAAACCTGCTTAGGCTTCTGCTTGTTTTAATCTGCTTGAATAGTAATGTATTCTTTTCCTTCAATGATCTCACAGTTGATAAAATATGTTCTATTGTGGCCTCTATAAATGTATTTATATCTATAGCTTGCCCTCTATGTGCCTTCATTCCTGCAGACCCGTGGATCAAACAAAAATACAAGTTTATTGGTCGCGTACACAGATTTGCGGATGTTATTGCAGATGCAGCGAAATGCTTGTGTTTCTAGTTCCAACAGTGCAGTAATACCCAGCAATAAAAAAAAAGCTATATACATATATTCCAGAAATATAAAAATAATAAGTTATAGGATGAGCCATGACTAGAATACAGTATATTCATATAAAGTGAAACAGTATGTAAACATTATTAAAGTGACCAGTGTTCAATGACTATGTACATTGGGCAGCAGGCTCTAAGGTCTGCACCTTAGAGACTGCTGCCCTATGTATATAGTCATTGAACACTGGTCACTTTAATAATGTTTACATACTGTTTCACCCAGGATGCAGGGTAGAGTACTGGGTGGTAGCCTGCCAGAACAGTGACTAAGGTTCAGGGCAGGGTACTGGGCGGAGGCCAGCTAGTGGTGACTCTTTAACAGTGATGGCCTGGAGATAGAAGCTGTTTCTCAAACTCCTGTCACATGGAGTCAGCAACGCTACCACTATACCAGTCTCCTCATATCGCACTCCATTCCCTTCTAACTTATTCTCCTTCTCCTCTCCCAGGGCACCGTGATCAAGCAGGACTCCATCCTGGAGCTCTGCCTGCGCTCTAAGGGCCCACCAGTCGACGCCCCGACCACGGCCACCGAACGGGTCTGGCGCTCCCTGTCACGTGACGCGGGCATGGCCGAGGCCAGCACGGGGGCGGCCATCGGGGAGCTGGCCCTGCTCCAGAGGCAGCACAGCCTCCTGCAGGAGGAGCTGGGTAGGCTGCGGGGGACCGAGGGCCGCCTGAGGGATAGCGAAAAGGCCCGCGCCCAGCTGGAGAGGCTGGTCCGCGACATGAAGGCCCACAGTGCCACCATGGTGGACAGTATGGGAACTGAAGGCTCAGAGCAGGTATAGGCAACTTTGATGGGGCTGGGGGGGCCACAAAAGATCTGATCTCATCATGAGGGGCTGCAGTTGCTCGCGGGTCTGTGTACCCACATACATCCCCCACCCCCACATTGCGAGAAAAACATTTTAGTGACCCCCCTCTTGACAGTGGAGATAGGGTGGAGAGAAATGTTTGCAGTTTTTAATATGATATCTGAATGAGACTGACTTACAAAATCATTCGACCATGATCGCCCATTCGACCATAACAAGTTTAGCCCATTCGACCATGATAACAAGTTTACATAGCTGGGTGCTAAACTAATTTAGCAATCTAAAAACAAATTGCTGACATGGGCTAATTGACTGAATATCAGTGACTGACAACAGAGAAACTGCTGATGCACAACCAAATTTTGAAATTGCACATAGTGTATTCTACTATGCTAACTCGCAACAGTAAGTTGAGACACCAACTCTGACGCTGTGGGTAGTTGCACTTAGCTTAACTATAGGGGGGTGCACTGATTTTTTACCAAGGTCATTGTTGTAGATGAGAATCTGATAATGGGAATATGCTCTCAATCATCTGAGTTGAGTTAATGGCTTCAGAAAGTATTCATACCCCTTGACTTATTCCACATTTTGTTGTGTTACAGCCTGAATTCAAAATGGATCAAATAGATTTTTTCTCACCCATTTTTTTCTCACCACACAATAGCCCATAATGACAAAGTTTAGCTAATTTATTGAACATGAAATACAGTAATAACTCATTAACATAAGTATTCACACCCCTGAGTCAATAGAATCACGTTTGGCAGCGATTACAGCTAAGACTCTTTTTTTGAGTAAGTCTCTAAGAGCTTTGCACACCTGGATTGTACAATATTTGCACATTATTCTTAAAACAATTATTCAAGCTCTGTCAAGTTGGTTGTTGATCATTGTTAGACAGCCATTTTCAAGTCTTGCCATAGATTTTCAAGAAATATTTAAGTCTAAACTGTAACTAGGCCACACAGCAACATTCAATGTTGTCTTGGTAAGCAATATTTGGCCTTGTGTTTTAGGTTATTGTCCTGCTGAAAGGTGAATTTGTCTCCCAGTGTCTGTTGGAAAGCAGACTGAACCAGGTTTTCCTCTAGGATTTTGCCTGAGATAAGCTCTATTCCGTTTATTTTTATCCTAAAAAAAACTCCCTTGCCGATGACAAGCATACCCATAACATGATACAGCCACCACTATGCTTGAAAATATGAAAGGTGGTAATCAAACATAACGCAAAACATAACGCTTTGTATTCAGGACATAAAGTTAATTTCTTTGCCACATTTTTTTCAGTTTTACTTTAGTGCCTTATTGCTTTATTCTGTAGAGACTTCCTTCTTTTTACGCTGTCATTTAGCTTAGTATTGTGGAGAAACTACAATGTTGTTGATCCATCTTCAGTTTTCTCCTATCACAGCCATTAAACTCTGTAACAGTTTTAAAGTCATCATGGCCTCATGGTGAAATCCCTGAGCTGTTTCCTTCCTCTCCGGCAACTGAGTTAGGAAGGATGCCTGTATCTTTGTAGTGACTGGGTGTATTGATACACTATCCAAAGTTTAATTAATAACTTCACCATGCTCAACGGGATATTCAATGTCTGCTTTTTTACCCATCTACCAATAGGTGCCCTTCTTTGCAAGGCATTGGAACTCCTCCCTGGTCTTTGTGGTTGAATCTGTGTTTGAAATGCACTGCTCGACTGAGAGACCTTACAGATAATTGTATGTGTGGGGTAGTCATTCAAAAATCATGTTAAACACTATTATACACAACATTTTTACTCCTGAACTTATTTAGGCATGCCATAGCAAAGGGGTTTAAAACTTATTGACTCACAACACTTCAGGTTTTCATTTTTTATTAATTTGTAAAAAATGTATGAGGTATTGTGTGTAGGCCAGTGACACAAAATCTACATTTAATCAATTTTGAATTCAGGCTGTAACACAGCAAAATGTGGAAAAAGTCAAGGGGTCTGAATACTTTCTGAAGGCACTGTAGGTTATACATTAGGCAAATATAGAAATAAAGTGTCTGTAGGTTTCATAATTGATTTGGTGTGCCGTTCCACTTGTCATCTTGCGTAGGCTCCACCCCTTCGCAGAGCAAGTGAAACCAACGCAGACACCCAATTGGCCAGCCAGGAGTCAATCGAGCATTTGGAGGGGCATCATGATGGCAGTGACCTGGAGGTGGAGGTGACATCAGATGAGGAGGAGGAGGCCAAAGCATCACCGCGCTCGGAGAGTCCCCGAGGTGTGTAAAGAGTCTTAGTAAACAACACTTCCAAGTGTAAACAATGCACCAGAATATTAAAGGTCCTGAACAGTCATTCTGATTCCCAAGTAAAATAGCCTTTTAAATGACTAAAACATCACCCATAATATTATTTCTGATAAAAATGCTGAAAATGTGAGAAAAACTAATTTTTCTCTCGTCAAACTACAAGGAAGTCTGAAAAGACCGACTGAGTGGGCGGGGAGATGGTAGGCTGAGTGGGCGGGGTGCTCACCTTGACTGGCATTTTTTTGAAAACGCCTATGTCAAGCAACATGGATGCAATGAGCAGTGTTGCCATAAGATTATCTCAAACAAATGTGCTTATACACAAAGCCACTCAAACAACATTGAAATTGCATGCAATATCCAATCTTGTCATACATCACATCATGGTTTCACAAATTATTTGTTTATCCATCTATTTGGTTATTGTAAACACCATCAATATAGACAAGATATTGGCTGTATAATTTAGCTAGCTAGACCAAATGGAATTATCAGCACTGTTTATCAAGCTAGCTAGCTAGTTCAACTTGGACAATTTCAGTTGAAACGTTACAGGGTGAGGTCTGGGTACATTTCATTAAATATATATATACACAATACCAGTCAAACGTTTGGACACCTACTCATTCAAGGGTTATTCTTTATTTTTACTTTTTTGTTTTACATTGTAGAATAATAGTGAAGACATCAAAACTATGAAATAACACATATGTAATCATGTAGTAACCAAATCAAAATATATTTTATTTATACGATTCTTCAAATAGCCACCCTTTGCCTTGATGACAGCTTTGCACACTCTTGGCATTCTCTCATCCAGCTTCACCTGGAATGCTTTTCCAACAGTCTTGAAGGAGTTCCCACATATGCTGAGAACTTGTTGGCTGCTTTTCCTTCACTCTGCCGTCCGACTCATCCAAAACCATCTCAATTTGGTTGAGTTCGGGGGATTGTGGAGGCCAGGTCATCTGATGCAGCACTCCATCACTCTCCTTCTTGGTAACATAGCCCTTACACAGCCTGGAGGTGTGTTGGGTCATTGTCCTGTTGAAAAACAAATTACAGTCCAACTAAACCCAAACGAGATGGGATGGCGTATCACTGCAGAATGCTGTGGTAGCCATGATGGTTAAGTGTGCCTTGAATTCTAAATAAATCACAGACAGTATCACCAGCAAAGCACCCCCACACCATAACACCTCCTCCTCCATGCTTTACAGTGGGAACTACACATGCGGAGATCATCCGTTCACCCACACCGCGTCTCACAAAGACACAGCAGTTTGAACTAAAGAAATCTCAAATTTGGACTAAAATATAAACGCAACATGCAACAATTTCAACGATTTTACTGAGTTACAGTTCATATAAGGAAATCAGTCAATTGAAATACATTTGTTAGGCCTTAATCTATAGATTTCACATGACTGGACAGGTTGCGCAGAGTGTGCAAAGCTGTCATCAAGGCAAAGGGTGGCTATTTGAAGAAACTCAAATATAAAATATATTTTGATTTGTTTAACACTTTTTTAGTTACTACATGATTCCATATGTGTTATTTCATAGTTTTGATATCTTCAGTATTATTCTACAATGTAGAATATAGTAAAAAATAAAGAAAAACCCTTGAATGAGTAGGTGTGTCCAAACTTTTGACTGGTACTGTGTATGTACAGTGGCTTGCGAAAGTATATGTCTCTATAAACTTGGCACATCTAGCCACTGGGATTTTTGCCCATTCTTCAAGGCAAAACTGCTCTAGCTCCTTCAAGTTGGATGGGTTCCACTGGTGTACAGCAATCTTTAAGTCATACCACAGATTCTCAATTGGATTGAGGTCTGGGCTTTGACTAGGCCATTCCAAGACATTTAAATGTTTCCCCTTAAACCACTCGAGTGTTGCCTTAGCAGTATGCTTAGGGTCATTGTCCTGCTGGAATGTGAACCAACGTCCCAGTCTCAAATCTCTGGAAGACTGAAACAGGTTTCCCTCAAGAAATTACCTGTATTTAGCGCCATCCATCATTCCTTCAATTCTGACCCGTTTCCCAGTCCCTGCTGATGAAAAACATCCCCACACCACCATGCTTCACTGTGGGGATGGTGTTCTCGGGGTGATGAGAGGTGTTGGGTTTGCGCCAGACATAGCGTTTTCCTTGATGGCCAAAAAGCTCAATTTTAGTCTCATCTGACCAGAGTACCTTCTTCCATATGTTTGGGGAGTCTCCCACATGCCTTTTGGTGAACACCAAACGTGTTTGCTTATTTTTTTCTTTAAGCAATGGCTTTTTTCTGGCCACTCTTCCGTAAAGCCCAGCTCTGTGGAGTGTACGGCTTAAAGTAGTCCTATGGACAGATACTCCAATCTCCGCTGTAGAGCTTTGCAGCTCCTTCAGGGTTATCTGTGGTGTCTTTGTTGCCTCTGATTAATGCCCTGCTTGACAGGTCCGTAAGTTTTGGTAGGCGGCAAACTCTTGGCAGGTTTGTGCCATATTCTTTCAATTTTTTTAATAATGGATTTAATGGTGCTCTGTGGGATGTTCAAAGTTTCAGATAATTTTTTATAACCCAACCATGATCTGTACTTCTCCACAACTTTGTCCCTGACCTGTTTGGAGAGCTCATTGGTCTTCATGGTGCCACTTGCTTGGTGGTGCCCCTTGCTTAGTGGTGTTGCAGACTCTGGGGCCTTTCAGAACAGGTGTATATATACTGAGATCATGTGACACTTAGATTGCACACAGGTGGACTTTATTTAACTAATTTTGTGACTTATGAAGGTAATTGGTTGCACCAGATCTTATTTAGGGGCTTCATAGCAAAGGGGGTGAATACTTATGTACGCACCACTTTTCAGTTATTTATTTTTTAGAATGTTTTGAAACAAGTTATTTCACTTCACCAATTTGGACTATTTTGTGTATGTCCATTACATGAAATCCAAATAAAAATCAATTTAAATTACAGGTTGTAATGCAACAAAATAGGAAAAAACGGCAAAAGGGATGAATACTTTTGCAAGGAACTGTAGGTATGTACAGTTGAAGTCGGAAGTTTACATACACTTAGGTTGGAGTCATTAAAACTCGTTTTTTCAACCACTCCACAAATTTCTTGTTAACAAACTATAGTTTTGGCAAGTCGGTTAGGACATCTACTTTGTGCATGACACAAGTCATTTTTCCAACAATTTTTACAGACAGATTATTTCACTTATAATTCAATGTATCACAATTCCAGTGGGTCAGAAGTTTACATACACTAAGTTGACTGTGCCTTTAAACAGCTTGGAAAATTCCAGAAAATAATGTCATGGCTTTAGAATCTTCTGATAGGCTAATTGACATAATTTGAGCCAATTGGAGGTGTACCTGTAGATTTAATTCAAGGCCTACCTTCAAACTCAGTGCCTCTTTGCTTGACATCATAGGAAAATCAAAGTAAATCAGCCAGGACCTCAGAAATAAAATTGTAGACCTCCACAAGTCTGGTTCATCCTGTATAAACAATAGTACGCAAGTATAAACACCATGGGTCCACGCAGCCGTCATACCGCTCTGGAAGGAGACGCGTTCTGTCTCCTAGAGATGAACGTACTTTGGTGCGAAAAGTGCAAATCAATCCCAGAACAACAGCAAAGGACCTTCTGAAGATGCTGGAGGAAACAGGTACAAAAGTATCTATATCCACAGTAAAACAAGTCCTATATCGACATAACCTGAAAGGCCGCTCAGCAAGGAAGAAGCCACTTCTCCAAAACCGCTATAAAAAACCCAGACTACGGTTTGCAACAGCACATGGGGACAAAAATCTTACTTTTTGGAGAAATGTCCTCTGGTCTGATTAAACAAAAATAGAACTGTTTGGCCGTAATGACCATCGTTATGTTTGAAGGAAAAAGGGTGAACGGCTTGCAAGCCAAAGAACACCATCCCAACCGTGAAGCACGGGGGTGGCAGCATCATGCTGTGGGGGTGCTTTGCTGCAGGAGGGACTGGTGCACTTCACAAAATAGATGGCATCATGAGGAAGGAAAATTATGTGGATATATTGAAGCAACATCTCAAGACATCAGTCAGGAAGTTAAAGCTTAAAGATGCAAATGGATCTTCCAAATGGACAATGACCCCAAGCATACTTCCAAAGTTGTGGCTAAATGGCTTAAGGACAAGAAAGTCAAGGTATTGGAGTGGCCATCACAAAGCCCTGACCTCAATCCTATAGAAATGTGTGGGCAGAACTGAAAAGGCGTGTGCGAGCAAGGAGGCCTACAAATCTGACTAAATTACACCAGCTCTGTCAGGAGGAATGGGCCAAAATTCACCCAACTTATTGTGGGAAGCTTGTGGAAGGCTACCCAAAACGTTTGACCCAAGTTAAACAATTTAAAGGCAATGCTACCAAATACTAATTGAGTGTATGTAAACTTCTGACCCACTGGGAACGTGATGAAAGAAATAAAAGATGAAATAAATCATTCTCTCTACTATTATTCTTACATTTCACATTCTTAAAATAAAGTGGTGATCCTAACTGACCTAAGACAGGGAATTTTTACTAGGAGTAAATGTCATGAATTGTGAAAAACTGAGTTTAAATGTATTTGGCTAAGGTGTATGTAAACTTCCGACTTCAACTGTATGTTTGTATGTGTGTGTGTGTGTGTGTGTATGTATGTACAGTGAGGGAAAAAAGTATTTGATCCCCTGCTGATTTTGTACGTTTGCCCACTGACAAAGAAATGATCAGTCTATAATTTTAATGGTAGGTTTACTTGAACAGTGAGAGACAGAATAACAACAAAAAAATCCAGAGAAACGCATGTCAGAAATGTTATAAATTGAGTTGCATTTTAATGAGGGAAATAAGTATTTGACCCCCTCTCAATCAGAAAGATTTCTGGCTCCCAGGTGTCTTTTATACAGATAACGAGCTGAGATTAGGAACACACTCTTAAAGGGAGTGCTCCTAATATCAGCTTGTTACCTGTATAAAAGACACCTGTCCACAGAAGCAATCAATCAATCAGATTCCAAACTCTCCACCATGGCCAAGACGAAAGAGCTCTCCAAGGATGTCAGGGACAAGATTGTAGACCTACACAAGGCTGGAATGGGCTACAAGACCATCGCCAAGCAGCTTGGTGAGAAGGTGACAACAGTTGGTGCGATTATTCGCAAATGGAAGAAACACAAAAGAACTGTCAATCTCCCTCGGCCTGGGTCTCCATGCAAGATCTCACCTCGTAGAGTTGCAATGATCATGACAACGGTGAGGAATTAGCCCAGAACTACACGGGAGGATCTTGTCAATGATCTCAAGGCAGCTGGGACCATAGTCACCAAGAAAACAATTGGTAACACACTACGCCTTGAAGAACTGAAATCCTGCAGCGCCCGCAAGGTCCCCTTGCTCAAGAAAGCACACATAAATGCCCGTCTGAAGTTTGCCAATGAACATCTGAATGATTCAGAGGAGAACTGGGTGAAGGTGTTGTGGTCAGATGAGACCAAAATGGAGCTCTTTGGCATCAACTCAACTCGCCGTGTTTGGAGGAGGAGGAATGCTGCCTATGACCCCAAGAACACCATCCCCACCGTCAAACATGGAGGTGGAAACATTATGCTTTGGGGGTGTTTTTCTGCTAAGTGGACAGGACAACTTCACCGCATCAAAGGGACGATGGACGGGGCCATGTACCATCAAATCTTGGGTGAGAACCTCCTTCCCTCAGCCAGGGCATTGAAAATGAGTCGTGGATGGGTATTCCAGCATGAAAATGACCCAAAACACACGGCCAAAGCAACAAAGGAGTGGCTCAAGAAGAAGCACATTAAGGTCCAGGAGTGGCCTAGCCAGTCTCTAGACCTTAATCCCATAGAAAATCTGTGGCGGGAGCTGAAGGTTCGAGTTGCCAAACATCAGCCTCAAAACCTTAATGACTTGGAGAAGATCTGCAAAGAGGAGTGGGACAAAATCCCTCCTGAGATGTGTGCAAACCTGGTGGCCAACTACAAGAAATGTCTGACTGTCACGTTCGTTCAAGGACGGGTCAGACCAAGGCGCAGCGTGAAATGCGTACATGTTTATTAAACTTATAAACACACGACAAAACAATAAACAAACTAAACGTGAAGTCCTAAGGTTGAACACACAACAAACCTATACACGGAACAAGATCCCACAACTAACTAGTGCCAATAGGCTGCCAAAGTATGATTCCCAATCAGAGACAACGAGCGACACCTGTCTCTGATTGGGAATCACACCCGGCCAAACATAGATATACAACACCTAGACTGCAACATAGAAAACACAACATAGAATATACCCACCCTGACTCAACATATAAGAGTCCCCTGAGTCAGGACGTGACACTGACTTCTGTGATTGCCAACAAGGGTTTTGCCACCAAGTTCTAAGTCATGTTTTGCAGAGGGGTCAAATACTTATTTCCCTCATTAAAATGCAAATCAATTTATAATATTTTTGACATGCATTTTTCTGGATTTTTGTTGTTGTTATTCTGTCTCTCACTGTTCAAATAAACTTACCATAAAAATTATAGACTGATCATTTCTTTGTCAGTGGGCAAACGTACAAAATCAGCAGGGGATCAAATACTTTTTTCCCTCACTGTATATATTGACTGCCAGGCATGTCTCTTGATGTAATGACATGACAACTGTTTCTGGGCTTTGGGCAACCCTTCCCCCTCTTTTGTTCCATGCTGGCTGAAGACCTAGCTAGCCAGTATACTAGCTAACACCAGACACGGATGAAAGCGGAAACCAATAAGTATCTTTGCCTGAGATTAATAGGGGAAACCTGTAATTTGCTAAAACACTTTAGTCACATTTTGGCACCAGCTGCGCGTTTCACCAGCCTGCGTAAAAACGTTAGTCTTAAATGGTTGGACGGTCGTAGCTACGTCCAATGTTGTGATCAGAATTTACACCTGTTGCATCAACCCAAAATAAGACTAGTCGTAGCTAAATCCGGCGTAAGCAATGCGTGCTCATGAGATTAGAAGATTCATAATGATGGTTGCTAGGCAGCGCTCGTTGCTTAGCTACAATCAGTAACGGGATAGCTACCGTATTTGGCGCAATGGAAGCTAATAAAAGAAAACTGTACTTTTCAGACTCTGAAATAAGAAGGACCGTAGAGCTGTAGCAAACGTCGAGCAATGATGAATGCTAAGTTCAATAGCACCGCTACAAACAGAAAACATAAATATATAACCTGGAAGCTTATAACTAGTAAAGTAAATGAGGAGAGCGGGGAGCTTGGCTGCAGGTCAGTGGAAGATGTGTGCAAGAAATGGAAAGATCTCATGACGAGCGCAAGAAAAGATGCTGGTACCCTGAAAAACCCACCTACGGGAGGAGGTCCTTCTCCCAAAATATCGCCATACAGCGATATTATAGTTGATATATTTGGAGCAGAATCCCCTGCCTTCACGCGCATTAACCCACTCACCCACCCAGCATGATGATGATTAAGATAATAGAGATGATGAGAGCTCTCAGTATCCACATCCACTAACAGCAGCCTAGTAGTGGAGATCAATAATGAAGGTAAAAACTGCAACCATTAATTTATCATCAACTGCCAGGTGTAGGCTATATGTGAGGGATATTTCCAGGCACCACTTGCATCTTTCTTTGCCCTCGTTGGGTCTTTCAATTTCTTGTGACCACTGTTCTGCATGCAACAAGCTGCCGCTGTCCTATTTACTTGTTATAACTTCCATGTTTGTTGGCTCTTTTAGACACCGACTCGAGCTCCCCAAACACATCGTTTACAGCCAGAACGCAGAGCCAGCCCACATGAAAAAATACTATAGTGCATATGGTAGGAATACTATAGTATTCACTGTAGTGTTTTTGCAGACTTTACTGTAGTATTCACAGTAACACTACAGTGAATACTGTAGTATTTATTGTAGTATACTGTACTATTTACAATTTACTATAGTATAAATACTGTAGTAAAAAATAGTAATTTATACTATAGTAATTAATGTAGTGTTTTTGCAAACTGTAGTATTTACTGTAGTGTTTTGCGGACTGTAGTACGGTATACTGTAGGATTTACTGTAGTGTTTTTGTTGACATTACTGTAGTATTTACTAAAGTGTTTTTGTTTTATTATCTTTGACATAGAAATTGGGGGCTTTCTCCCTGAGGAAGGACTGGGTTCTGAAGGGAGTTCAGAGCTTCTGCTCTTTTCTATAACCTGTAGGGAACACAATATATGGTCTATACTTGGCATGTAGGTTTCTCACTTACAGAGGGCACAAATTGTGATATGTGGGAGGGGAATGGGCAGGGTATATGTACATTAAACATTGTAGTATTTACTATAGTAAAAAAGAAAAATGTTTTTGCGGACCATAGTATTTATTAGTTTTTTTTGTTGTTGTGGTTAATACTGTAGCATTTACTATAGTATTCTACAGTATAGTACACAATTCTATACTAAGTACTACACATGATCAATGTGTAGTATAGTATTTTACAGTATACTATAGTTTATTGCAGAATTATATAGTATGAAAAATGTATGCACTAACTGTAAGTCGCTCTGGGTAAGAGCATCTGCTAAATGACTAAACATTTTTTTTAAACAAAACAAAATTGTATAGTAAGTACTGTAGTATTCTATAGTAAACTGTATTTTTATGAAGGAGAGCAGGGTGCGTTGGGTACCAACACAAGAGCAGCTAAATGAGATGCAGCTGATGCTCATGGAGAAGGAGATAGAGAGAGTAGAGATGGAGACTGAGAAACTGAGTGGGAAAAAATAGAAATTAGAGCTTGAGAAAAATTAATTACATTTGGAAATTAGGTTCCTTGAGCAACAACAGCAGCAGTTCATTGTAGAACGAGCGGGAGTAACACACTACACTGTAGCCAATAATAAGAAATTGTACATTGAATAGGCCTATTTGTTTTACAATCATTTTAAGTGTAGTCTTTGTATTTGTAAATACTGCCTATAAGACTTAAGACTTTAGGAAATAAAGGAAGATATGCTTTTTAATCATTCCAACATATATATTTATTGATTGGTTATGCTGGTTATAGACATTTCTATAGATTATTTGATTCTGGACCAGTTGATCTTCGATGTCGTCTGGACCTGCAGGTTCCCTATTGTTTTCCTGTGCCCTGGATCAATCATGGGATGTGGTGTTGCTACCATGCTGTGTTGTCATGTGTTGCTGCCATGCTATGTTGTTGTCTTAGGTCTCTCTTTATGTAGTGTCTCTCTTGTTGCGATGTGTGTTTTGTCCTATATTTAAATTTTTTATCCCAGCCACCTTCCCCACAAGAAGCCTTTTGGTAGGCCGTCATTGTAAATAAGAATTTGTTCTTAACTGACTTGCCTAGTTAAATAAAGGCAGCCTCTTCTCCACGCAGCTATTATGCAATACCACTATGGCAGCGACAACGGTGCAGGACCTCTCTGGTGCCATTCTTATCTCTCCATGTAGGCAGTGGAACCTAGTGAGAGCACAATGCAATAAAACTGTGTGGTAACACAATCATCTTATGTTATTTGGTGCATGTCATAGCCTAATTAAAAAGTAGGCTACTAAACTGTGCTTCAGCACCCATATGCAGCACTCAATAAGGCACCTAGCCTCAGCATGAGCATTGTTGTACTCCCGCTCCTGGTGTCCTGGGTGCCAACACTGGTGTCATCAGCCACCTTTTTAGTGGGTAGCCACTGTCCTCCAGCAGGATGCCACAACGTCTAACCTCTTCAAACTCCCTCTGGAGTGCACTCTCTAGTAGGAGCCGCGGGCATTGTGGGTAGACCCAGGCCACCATGTCTATAATCTTCATCCCCTCATTGCAGGCAAGCTGTACGTTGATGGAATGAAACCCCTATCTGTTGACATATAGGTACTCATGGTCAGAAGGGGTCTGTATCCTGACATGAGTACCGCCAATGCATCCGATGATGCCCGGTATCCCAGAGACTGTGGATCTGCTGACTTATATCATGTCCCCCACAGTGTTTTGAAATGCACCTTTGGCATAGAACCGAAGCGCAATCAGAGTTTGCAATGCCGGGGACAGCGTCGGTGAGAGCTCATAGATTATTTCAAACCGATCACAACTTCTGTAGCGGAACCTCACGATACACTCCCCGTCTGTATACATATCCAGAGGGTTGCGCCGATCTATTATTATTAATTCCCGTCTAAAGGCCCGCTGGTTGTGAAACCGATAGACAAAGACGCGCCATGCTCCGTTATTGTACTTTTCAAATAGTGTTTCTATGAAGAATAGTGTTACCATGGAGAATGTTCATGAGTCGACACCCTTGGGTGCGCTGCTCCTGCTAGCTACTAGGCGAAGAATCTACGCCCAGGAGTAGCTCATAAAGGGCTTACGCCCAGGTGGTGCAACAGGTATAATTTTTAGGTCCGGCGTAGAGCACATTTTATGTCGGACGTAGAGTTACGACCCACTTACGACCAACTGGTGCAACCGGCCCCAGTAGAATAGCTACCTAGCTTTGTAAACCACGCCACTCTGCGAACACGCCTTCTGCGATTGTTGGTTACAAGGCGGTACTTATTTAAATTAGGTAAGAGAATAAGACGTTTCCATTAGTGTATTAAAAAGGCCCTTAGTTATCCCGTCTCCATCCCGACCGTCAACACACTCTGATGCATTGTTCACCAGTTGGACGGCTGTTACAAGATCCATCTATTCTGACTGGACTGTTTGGTGGGTCAAAAAGTAACAGAATCTTGTTTACCATGAGAGCGATAAACCTCAAGCTGGGCTTTGATATGGCGTGCAGCAACCCCACTTCATTGACTCTCACATCTGCGGGAAAAGCTTGTGTGTCTTCAACCTGTGTCAGCTACTGGGATATATCCTTGGAGGACTCAAGGATGACTTGTACAGTGGCTGGTCGAGCAGGCGTTTGTGTCTCCCCCTTGTAATGAACTCCAATGGTGGGCTTTCTTACGTATTTGTAAAGGTTACAATTTTTTTTTTTTACAAATCTCCGATGGCCGCCTCAGAGGACATGGCATGGACCACCACCAGATGAAGCTGTGAACATAAGGTATGTCTCTACCCAATTTCTCCTGTAGAAGTTTCTGCACTCCCCCTTGCTTCCCCGACATCACATAGGCTCCGTCGTAGACTTGACTGAGGATTTTGTCAGTTCTCAGTCCAGCCTTGGTCAGTTCTGAGGTAACAGTTTCTGTGAGAGTGTTGGCATCACCTGCATCTGCAGTGGCTATGGTCAGAAGGCTCTCTTTTATTTAATAGTTCCCATCTATAAACCGAAGTACGATTGAAGTGTTTTCATAGCCCGTTGGGTCTCTTGTTCCGTCCACTTCCCCAACAATATGCTCTGTTACTAAGTTACTCGTTTGTTTTATTAAGTCATCCTGGATGTCGTGGCTCATGTAGGCTGCGTTGTGGGGAATGGTTGGTGCTTTCTTGGCCAACTCTGGATCTTTTTGGTGGGTATACTCAAACAATGACAAGAACCGCCCACTGCCTTCCTCTGTCATGCTTTTGAATGCATCGTGATCTCTTCTTAGAGGGATTTCATTAACGGCTAGAAATGCAATAATGTCAACAATAGAGCCCAGGTAATATCGAGGACGTGCAAGCAGATCCGTGTTAACCAGTGTTGATATTTCCTGCTCTGTCTCTTTACACATTTTTCTCTCCCTCCATAGCCTCACATGTTAAGTGTTATTTCGAGGTGGCATGTTTGTTCAGTTCTTTATCTCTCTCTAATGCATGCTTCCAATCACAGAACCCTTTAATGGTAAAAGTTGAATCTGATGACGCACTGGACCGAAATTTCATCAGGGGAAACAAAAGGCTGCATCAGTTTGTACTGAATACTTACCAAAAGACTGCTTCTTCCCTGAATACAATCTTACTGGAAATGTACCTAATGTCACCTGGTTGGGCTTCTCAACCCCAAGGTCATCTGGGGCTGCTTATCTGGATGTGGGTTGCACTGGCCCGTGTACTTTAGCATGGCTAGCAGCTGCTGCTGAGCTGGGTGGTGGCAAGGAGGCTGGTGGCGGGACTGGAAGGGGGCTCTGCTAGCTTCACCGTTGGCAGAGACTAGGCAAACTCTGTGGGCTAGCCACTGCATTGCCATGATCGCCAGCAACTGTAGCAGTGGTTTTGATGAGTGGATTTTCAGCGGCACTTGTTGCAGCAGATGATGCATTATTTTTAAACCAATTTCTAATTTTGACGGTAGCCAGGCCTACTGATCACTGAGGCACCCACTATTAATTTGAAATGGCAGTAAAAGATGCATTTATGATAGGTCTAAAATCCTGTCATATATAATTACTTGAGCCACATAAATTTTTTATTTTTTTAAATACATTTCATTCAACCATGTATTTTATTTGGACGGGCCAGGAGATATGGTAGGGCGGGCCAGGCCCCCAAAGGCCCGCCTATAACGCCGGCTCTTTAGTTT